CTGCAGTTCATCTCCCACCACTGTCCTACTACCAAGGTCCTTTGTATTCCACAGCAAATAGGACCTAAATTTTGCTGCAAAGTCCCTAGATTATTTGGCGCTTCTATGCTGTGGACTGAAAACTGAGCAGCAGCTTCATGTGGATACTAAACACTGATGTTTTTAAATTGTAACCGCAGCTTTCACCCTGTGTTTATTTTAAACAGAATTTATCTTATGCTTTCTGTTTTCCGTTTTCAGTACACCAAAGATTATTTTTAATGGACAATACATGATAGCTTCACAGAAGTTGTCAGAAGAATGCTGGAGGTTTTGGCAGTTGGGTAGGGGCTTTTGGCACCAGGAGGGGGGGGGAGGGAGAGTTTGGGAATGTATGGTAAGCACATTAGCTGGATATTTCTGCTAAAATGATCAGCAGTAACATAATTAAATGCTGACAGTTAAATTGTCATCTTTAATTAATAACCCAGTGAGAATGAAGAATTTCATCCCTCTCTTAGAACTTTTGTTTCAGACTCTCTGCAGACTCAGGAGGACAACACTATAGCAATTTACATTCTGTTTATGTTTTCAAGGTTGTCTGTACAAAGATCAGAAACAAAAAAACCCAAACCAAAAGCCTAGATTCTACATTTGGGGTGGAATACATGAAGGCCTGTCTATGACTCAGATCAAACACAAGTTCCTCTGAAATAAACCAGAAGAAGAGAGAGGCAATATTCCTTATAGGATCAAGGTACTAGGTTTACAGTCACTGCCTCATGACCTAATGGCCTAAGTCTCCCCTAGCTGCCTTTGTACACAGGCTATAATATTGCTATACCAATATTATAGCAAACACAAACATGTAACTAGCCTTATCAGTATTGCTTTATAACTGATCGTGCACTGTAGTGACACTGCTAGCATTACAACTTCCCACAAAACTTTTTTTAAATATTAGATGGCACAATCCAGCTTCATTTGGCTCTTTGGAAGAAGGAGGATGCAAGGGGTACTTACTAGCATCCCCCCGATTTGAATGTTCCATGCTGTAATACTGGGGCGAAACAGTGAAAAGCTGAACACAGGAGTCATGGAGCTAAAGTGAAATAGAATAGAATATACTGTACTTTCACTTGAGATCCTTATGAAATATTGATGTCTCTTGTATGTGTATTTTCCCATAGATTTTAGCCAATAAATGTTGCTTTAAGCCATCATCCCTCAAAAGTTTTATGTATCCCAATAGCAGTCATGGCTTTAAGGTCAGAGAAGGCATGACTCATTTGTGATCAGTATGCGTTGTTATTGCCCCATCTGGATGGGAGAATTCCATCTGTTGTGTCCTAATTTCCACAGTGGAGATGCCAGTGTTACTGATTGGCTGCTTGCCTTTCCCCACCCTGTCTGTGATTGGTGGATCCTCCCACTTCTGCCTTGATTTCTGTCTCTTTCCTTGCTCAGGTTCTTGCACTTCACAGCTGCAGCTATTCTACACTGATCACAGAGGGACCAGGGGTTGCTCACTGATCAGGACTCAACCAATAAGGTACATTGCTGGGATTTTGGAGGGAAGATGTACTCCGATCAGATGCTATTTGTTCTCAAAGGCTTAAGAGCAGTGGTGGGCCACCTGTGGCCCACTACTGCTTTAGAGTGTATTTATGGCTAATGAACAGGATGTAGGACTAACAAGGGAAGGAGAAGGATGTTTGAAAAGAATGAGTCTGTGAAGAGGGTGTCTGTTGGGTTTAGGGGATGCAGGATTTACCCCTAAATTGCAAGCATGGAAGGGCTCATCCAGGCTATATTTCAAAGGGAAATGTTTAGATTTAATTAAAGTGACATTGTTCATTATATTTTAAGGCTTTGTTTTTAAACAATTTTAGTCTTCATTTAAGGGTTTGCCCAAGATTCTATGGGCCAATGGGAATCAAGTCACCAAATTGTCTGTATCTGAACCCCCCCCAGATTTAGGACAGGGGAAGGGTCAATACTGAAATAATTAAATATATCTACAAGGACTTATGTTGGTGTGAAGTTATGCAAAATTAAATGTGGCTGGAGGTTTTGAAGGCAAGGGATTAGAGACTACAGTGATGAGGGCAATGTAAGTATTTAGAAGAGAATGTATCCAGGATGGGGATAGCAAAGAAAAGAATTAGAGTTTTGCCATTAGATATGCGCAGTATAGATCACTGCAATCAGTGGGGGCTGACTACATGTATCTGAGGGCACAGTTAATGTTTTGTATATTTAAAAAAAAAACCTCTTAGAAGCATGAAAATAACATTTTTCCCTAAAAATTTTGCCTGTTTGCGTTTGACAAATATTAATTTTTAGATTTGTATCAGAAGGATGTTTTCATGGAGAAAATTATAGCTTTATGCCAGCAAGAAATTATAATTACACTGGAATCTCTGTACTAAAACAAAATTTCCATGGAAGTTATTTTTTCTATTGGGATCTTCTGCACTTATCTCTAGTCCTGACTCAAAATTTAATAAGGTGTTAAGATAGCCACCATTTTTGCTCATTTTTAACCTAGTTCCCCAAGATGTCATGTCACAGATATATCTCCTGGCCAGAATGAATGGACTTCCTTTTACAAGTTCTTTGCATTGCTTTTCATCTGAAGGATCAGAGGGCTGATGCAGTCAGAAGTCCCTATCACTCATGGTTCAGCATGCTGCCTTTGGTCCTCTGTCTCCCTACCATCCAGAAATTGAGAAAATAAGAAACTTAAGGCCAGTTTTCTTGCATGACAGACCAGAGTACATCTAACTACAAAATAGCTCCAGACAACAAATATTTTAGGGTGAATTTTCTAGTCTTAGCTAATTTAAATGCCATGGATGCTATACTTAAAAATAAAGCAACTAATTAGAAACCAAAACACGTCTACCTATGATATGAGTCAAACAGAAGAATCTCAACAAGACAAAGACTAGTGATTTAATAAGAACAGCTTATCGCAGCAGTTAATACAGTAGCACCACATGCTATACTTAAATTTTAATTAGAAGTGGGCTATGTCAAAATTTTCACAGGGAAGTTTGTAACCACACCCACCTGAACATAATATATGGAGATATGCCTATCTCATAGAACTGGAAGGAACCCTGAAAGGTCATTGAGTCTAGCCCCCTGTCTTCACTAGCAGGACCAAGTACTGATTTTTTGCTCCAGATCCCTAAGTGGCCCCCTCAAGGATCGAGCTCACAACCCTGGGTTTAGCAGACCAATGCTCAAACCACTGAGCTATCCCTCCTCCCTTAACATAATACTTACAAGATTTCCATTTAAATGGCATTTTCCATGAGAGTTTTGGGGGAGAGAGTCTCTTCTTTAAAAGACATGGTTATTTGTTTAGACATCTTCCTGGTTGCTCACCACACTTATTGATTTGTGGCATTTCACAAACGCTCATCAGCTTCTCCTCATGGGATGGATTATGATGCAGACCTCACAACTGTCCATTTGGTTATCTGCTGACGGTGCCTTGTTGGCAAGGCGTTCAATTTCAGTTCAAAGTTAACCCAGTATATTCTTGGCCCCTTGCATCAGCTTTTTATATTTTTCTTACATCTGATTCTGCCTTCCCCTTTTTACAAGGTAGTTTACTCTTTTTTCCACACATGTACAAAATCAAATATTCCTCTATTCTAAATGTGGATGCAGAAATATGGCTCAGTGGAAAAAGGACAGGCATTCCTAGTAGACAGTGTTAGAAGTCCTTTAAGAAATCTTGAGCCAATTTCTCCTTTTTGATTTATTCTGTAGCCTAACATGTCACCACAAGACAACCCACCAACAAGCAGACATGAAAAACAGGGAGGGCTTTTACATTCTGAAATCCCAAATAGTATTTATCAGCACAATTATAACTGGGACAAAGTAGAATATTCACAAGGTTTAATGACCTTATCAAATTATGTGGTGGCATGGCTCAATATTAAGATTGCTTAGACAGTTGGTCAATAAAATCTAATTTTACAGGCTTTAGCAAAATTTTGGAAAATGTTCTCTCTGTTCTTCAAGAGATTGCACCATTTGTGCCACCACTGGAGTGAATTACAAGAATACTTCCTTCTCCCTCAACTTTTTATCTCATTGAAGTTCTTTGCAGCATGGATGTATTTTCACTCCTGCTCCCCATCATTATTTTTTGTGAAGTTGCACGTCTGAGTGACATTTAGTCTTAACTGAGATATATACAGTAACAAAAAATCAAGCTAAGAGTTTAACAGGGGATTTAACAATAAATTTCCTGGCAACCATTTGGCAGTGGAAGGGATGGGAAGAGCCCCCGCCAGTCATGATTTTTCTTAACAAGAAGCATGCTAAGGGACAGGGGCTTTTAAATTGACTATAGAGGGGCCTGAACCAAAACTCTGGAGCCACAGACCTGGGGGTTTAGTAAATGCCTCTTTCTAGTTTTGAGAGGCCATCATGAAACCAAAGAACTGGAGCCTTCAATTAAAGGAAGCTCATTGTTTAAGAGAAATATTGGTTAGGATCATTTACTGCACCTAAAAGGTTTGTTCTGTTTTCTGGTCTGGGGAACAGGAACAAGTATGACAGCTGTTGATAGGGGCTGGTCTACAGTGAAAAGTTACATCAGCATAGCTATGGCTCTCAGGTGTGTGAAAAATCCACACCCCTGGAGAAGTAGTTAGGCCAGCCTAACCCCGGGTGTAGACAGCACTTAGGTTGACGAAAGAAGGGCTGGCCTGTGCTAGAAAATTAGATCACCCCAGCTACATTGCTCAGGGGTGTCAAAAATCCACACCCCTAAGTGACATAGTTAAGCTGACCTAAGACCCTGTGTAGAATTCTTCCGTTGACTTAACTACTGCCTCTCTGGGAGGTGGACAATTACAGCGATGGGAGAACGTCTCCTGTTGCTCTTGTAGCGCTTCAGCATAGACACTTACAGTGGCACAGCTGCACCACTGTTCCATTTTAAGTGTAGATATAGCCATGGCAACTTCTCTATGCTTTCTGTTTTTCCACAGATGGACAGATATCCCTTCTTCGTGTTTGTGTTGTGTGGGGTATTTTTGCCAAGAATCCTTTGTTTTCCACATGAAAACTCTACAATAGATTGTGATACTATGCTACCGCACCATGGAGGTGAACCACAAAAATCCACTCCACCATATGTTATTGCTGTATCTTTTGATAAATATGATCCAGGAAACGAAATCCAAGGTAAACTATTTAACTCATTTAAAAACTCTGTCTCCGTGTAAAGGTGCAGGCAGTCCTTGAGCGCCCTCTTGCAGCCTGGTGTGGCCCTACAGGTGTGCCCTTCCTTAATTTCCCTAAGTGGAGCAGCAGTAGATTTCAGTTTAACAGTGCTGGGGCAAGGAGGAGCTGCCACAGATTAACAAAATGCCCTCGCATTTTAATCAGGTTTCAGGCCAGGAATCTTTACAACAAACAGTTCATCAGGCCCCAGGTTCAGGGCATCCAAATTTATAGTCCTCCACACCCAAGTCTCTGAATCAGGTTAAACTTGTCTCCAAGTGCCTGAGAGAGAAACCACCACCACCTACTCCCACCAGCCAGCTAGCTAGCCAGCCTGCCTGCCTGCTGACTCCCCTGTTCTGCTTCCAGTCTTGTTCCTGTTTATATGGCTCAGCCCTCAAGATGGGTATGGCCTCCTTAATTATCCCCAGGCTGCAGGTTGTGGGCTATTGCCAGTCAATTAAAGGGCTAGTACCCTTTTCCCCATACACTCTTTCACTCTCCTTCTCCTACTGAATTCAGGCTGCACCAAAATTTCACCTGGTTTCCTTCTGCAGCATCCCCAAAATATAGGCCTTTCTTTCATCCCCACTCATCCATACTCAGTTCATATCTTGCCTCTCCACGTGGGAAGATGTTTTTCCCTTGCCTATTGGGCAAATATGATTTCATCCCATTACACAATGTCTGTGATGGAACTAAAGTCAACTGGCAAAACTGAGCTATGCTATTATTTATTTGATTTCATTTCATTTGTTGAATACTGGTTGTGTGCTGAGCGCTGTACAGAAGAAAGGGGAACTACCCTCAACTTGCTACAATACTGCAGGAGCGTAAAATTTGCCTACAAAACTCAACGTGTTAGAACTCCAAGGGTGGCTTTGTATGTTGTGCCTTTCAGAGGCTCAGCACAGAATTAGCAGCCTAGGCTTTACATCACCTTTGCACCTGCCCAGTCCTGGGCTGGGGCAGCACCTGGTGTAATTTACACATCCCTGTTTAGGTTACAGCAGCCTTCCTGCTGCCATGTGAACAACAGGGCTGCTCAGATTCTCACTATTACCAGCCTGAAGCATTCAACACGCATGAGTCAGACCCTGAAATTTCATGAGATTGGATGAAAAGTCATAAGATTTCTAAAAATAATACATTTTGGGTGCTTTTTATTTGCCTTCTGGTTTCTGAGTCTCTAGATCATGCTCACTTCATGTTTTCAAGCTTTTCTAAGCAACTGAGAGGGCTAGAAACTTTCACTTAGTTTTTTTTTTTTTTTTTTTTTTTTAACTATCTAAGATTCTTCTGCAATCTTGAGTCCACCAGCTGGGGCTTTAAGAAATACACCAAAACTTGCGAGACTTGTGATTTTTTTTTTGTTTGTTTTTTCTTTCTGAGAGTTGGCAACACAATGTCCACAGTTCTGCATGCTACAGCCCCACCCCGACACATTCTTCCCGCCACCATTCCTGACCTCAGCATACCTTCTATGCCGAGGTTTGAAAGGGGGTCCTCAGAAGGAGCACAGTTCTGGCTCTTTCAGGGGGACAGAGCAGGGGTGAGAGTCTCTCTCTGAAGCCACAAGAAGCTGGGGGCCCAGCTTAGCACATCTCAAGCCTGTTCCCCAGCGCTGATCTGTGGGCCCCTCTCAGCTTGGTGGCAAGGCTCCTAAAGCAACTTCACGACTATTGACTAACTCCAACAACAAGCCTGCAACAAGCCCCCACTAAGATGAGCAGGTGATGTGAAGGGGAGTTAGTCAGGTCAGTTTCCACTTTGAAATCCAGGCAGCTCAAAATGGAGAACAGAGCACCTGCTGTCCTACTGTGCCCCTAGAATGCCTTTGGAATCCCAGGGACCCAGTCCCATGGAGTTGAGATGGAGGGGCTTTCATGGGGGACAGGATACCAGGGGCAACATGTAGAAGAAGGGGAACATGTGGCTCATTTTGACTGGAAACATCAGGCAGAATCCATGCAGCTCTAAAGAAGAGGTTTTGTTAATAGCTCTTCCAAAGATGGCAGGGCTGTTAGACTACTCAAAAGTGCTTGTGAGTTTTAAAATAATTCTCAGCAACAAAATGATGGTGGATTTTAAAGGAACATTTAGGTGTGGGAGAACATTCCCATCACATTATAACATAAAGAAACAGTAAAACAAGCAATGGGCCTTAGCAGCTACTAAGATCCTCCTTTCCTGTCCCTCTGGCCTTGCCCTTTTTTAAATCCTGCCACTGGCTCCCTATTTTCCATTGCTTCAGATTTTAAGGTTCCTACACTTGCCTTCAAGACTCTGCATAATTCTGCCTCTCCCTGCTCATCTGCTCTTATCTCTTTTTACATTGTCCCCAGCTCCACTAACGACATACTCTTTATCTGCTTCTTTTACAGCCACTTTGGTGCCTTAGTCTACACTGCCCCCAAGTGTATGGAATGCCTTCACCTGAATTGGCCTCTAGGCCACTACTCTTTCCTCCTTCAAATCCCTCTTCTACCACGACACCTACAAGAAAGTAGTTGACTAATTATGGGCAGGTTGAGGATTAATTGGAGATAGTCTACTATGTCTTTTTTAATGTTTGCCCAAGTACAGTATTATCAAGACGTAGCCAATCACTACCTTAACCTTGACTTGTATGTTGTCCCCTGGGTCCTCTATCATTCCTCTGGCTATCTTTGTTTTTAAGACAAGTTCTTTGGGAAAGGGACCAGGCTTTCTGTTATATTTGGGAAAACACCTAGTACTTTGTTGGCATTACCCGAATACATTTATAATAATAAAAACTCGTCTGTGTCCCTTTAAAGTATGGTTTCACGTTGCAAAGTGACTCTTCAAAAATGACATTGTGCGGTTCTCTGTTTACTGTCTCTCGAGTCTTTCAATAAGAGTTTATGAGTAAATCAGTGTGTTTCCTAACTTGCAACTCTGCATACTCAGCAGCCTGGTATCTGAGAGCCAAGTTGGGTTTTTTCCTACCTTGTACATCACTGAAAATAAAGATTCTGCAGTTGGAACTTAGCTAACAAAATACCGGCCCCCCACTTCTGGAACTCAGACAGAAGAGAAACCATCTCTCTCTTTCTCTCTCTCTCTCTCTCTCTCTCTCTCTAATACCTCCTAGCCCCCTACACTGTTGGCTTTGCAGGCCTAACAAGTAAAAGTAGAAAATCTTTGTCACTAAAGCCAGTAGGTAGGACTCTGAATACACACAAGGAGCAGGTTGGATGAATAAGAAGATTTTGATTTTACAGTTCACTGTGTAGAGCATCTGTATTGCATTTTAAAGTTGTTCAAAGTTGTTTGTAAATTATATGGAGTGTTAAGTTACTTCACAAATGTATTTAGTAATATGTCACACAGATGCCTATGCTACCTTTGTTTCTTTTCCTCCTTGTCAGTCTCGGTATTGCTAATAAAAACTGCAGTTAGCCATAACATTTAAAAAAATATATATATATATATAAAAATGAGCATAAGGCATTTCTGTAGATGCAGGATGCTTTGATGCATGGGAAATGTGATAAGTATTATTTAAGACAGCTCCACAGCATGTGAAACTTACATTTCTTTAAATGACTGTTTTCTCAGTGACTCTAGAGGGAACTGCAGAGCGTGGTTTTCAAGGATTTCATCTACAGGCTCGAGAACTTGAAGGAGATACCCCTGTTGGTTCCTTTAAAATTACAGATCCGAGCACGCAAGCCCTTGCATGTCATAATGTTTCGGTATGTGCTCACTCGTTCAGATTAGTTACTTAGCTAAGTTAACTTTTACATACTTGTATTGATACTGATCAAAAGAAACATACATTTTTCATTTTGCAATACATGTGAAATTATATCAGAACTCCAGGGTTCTGGCTCACAGAAAGAAAAGGACTCTTGTTCAGACAAATCATTAGAACTATTCACCGGTTTATGGCCTATGATTTCCAAGCCTGTTTGCTATATGATATGTCGGACTTCATAGTGACTAGAATTCAATGTCTAGAAGACACATTTGGATGCAGATCAGTACCCTTGGATTTTTATGCACAATATTGCAGAGGGTCGACTGCAAAATCAGAGTAAAATGTTTGTGGTGCATGGCCCAATTCTTAGTACTGAACTAATGTTCCAGCATGGCGCTAGGGGGCTCTGCTGTGCTGCTAGATGTGCTGTCTTTTGGATGAGGTATAGATCAAAAGTCCTGACCTCTTGTGGTAGTGAAAGATCATTTGTCATGGCTTTTTTTTTTTTTTTTTTTTTAACAAAAATAATACAGCAGTCATGATAAATTTAGTAAAAAAACCATGGGCTTAAGGGGAAATAGTGTGTAAAGTCATGGGTATGGACAGAGAAGGGGGATGGATTCTGTGCACAACCCTGTGTACCAGGTCACCACACCACTTACTCAAGTTTGGTCCGGCCACCCTCCATCATGACAGAGGGGCATCTGGGCCAAATCTGAGTGGAGCTGTGACCCCATGTACCAGGTCAGAACTCCTGGAGTGGGAAGCTAGGCCAATCCTGCGGGACAGGAGCTGCTGCTGTGGGGTGAGTGCTGGTAGGGTTCACTCTCCAAACCCTCTTCTTCTCCCCACACCCTGGGGTCTCCCCTCTGCATGGGTGCTTTATTAAAATCATGGACAGAAAGAAAAGTCACGGACAGAGAAATCACTGTATCTTTTCAACCACCATGACAAATCTGCAGCCCTACCCATGGTGTTGTAGCCAAATTCCTTTACTAATATTTGCAAGCACATATAGGTAAAAAATGCTTTTGCATTTCATATTTATTTTTTTATTACAGAATTCAGCAGTAAGCCACACAAATTCAGAGGTGAAGCACAAAGTTACAACAACTTGGATTGCACCTTCGGACACCAAGAGTATTCAATTTAGGTATATATTTGATTTTTTTGCTTTGATATTTTATTTTCATGGGACAATTCAATATGGTTTCCTTGGGTGTACACTTTCATTGTGGCATAACAAGTCTATGCACTCCATATATTTTCCCTGGTATTGTTTTGTTTCATTGTTTGCATTATCTCCACATTGTATTAGTATAATAAAACCACTACCATTTTTATGTAAACTTTGTTAAAAGTAACTACTGTATATGTGGCCCAGTCCTACAAACCTCTACTCACACAAATAGTTCCAAGAAGGTCCATAGCATTACTAGTGGACCCTGGCTCAGAAAGCAATTTTTACCCTTTAGGTCCCCATTCCTTATGCACATGAGAAGCCATATGCATGTGAGTAGTCCCATACATGAGAGAGGCCTTTTATTGATTTCAATTGGCTTTGGCTCAGGCCCTAATACAACACTGATAAAAATATTTGCTTTTTTAATAAAATAATTTCTTTCATATTGAATATGGAAAAAATAATGATTAGAAGTGGGAATCCTTGAAGATTAATTTTTAAACATCACTTTATTTATTTGTTTATTTATCTAATTCTGGCATTTTCATAACCTGTTCTCAGCAAATATTTTTTTCAGGCCCTTTTGTGGAAATGGCACAAGACACACATTGATTGAGTGAAGAGAGCTGCTAAAGCCAAATGTATGCCATGTTTTATGTAACTTTAATTAGCCTGGCATATTACAAAGTTTTGATTAACAACAAAAATAACATCTGGGGCTAACAATATGTTTGCCAAGTGTTAGTCAAAATCCATTTGAAACAGCTGAGATATTAAATTTCTGAAGTTTACAGTAGAAAGGCCAAATCAGTAACTCCCTTAAGTTCTTACAAGTACAAAGGGGAGCAAAAAGACACAGAAATTGAGTAACTCTTCCACAGTATGATCATCTCCTCTCCCTGGTCCAATCAAAGCCATGCTTCAGCCATAGGTTGAGACTATATGAAAGTGAGAAGGTCTGCCAAGGCCTCTCCAACACTGGTGGATATTTGAGCAGATATCCACACAGGAGTCTAAGCTTCTCCAAGCAGCTTTCATTCCTCTTCCGTGCCTTCTAACCTTCTATTTTGTTGATCCTTAGCATGATGTTGGACATTAATATAGGAATTAGAAAATAAAAAAGTTTCTAAGATTTAATTACATACTCTTGAAACTTTTTTCTTACACCTTTTCTTGAAGGCTGCAACATGAATTCATACTGAAAATCATACAGTTTCAAATAACTCTAACAAGCATGAGTTTTCTTAGCTAAAAGAAATCTTGTGATTCTATTTCATAATATACTGAAATATAATTTGCTAGAAAAAGTAAATTGTACTGATCTTATTTTCCCTCTAGAGCAACATTTGTTCAAGATTCAAAGAACTTCTGGGTTGGAGTTCTCAGCAAAACTGTCACTCCTAGACCTTCTCAGTCAGCCAATGTCACAGAAAGAAGGAATAATAAGAAGGTATGTTTTGAATTTATCTTTGTCTGAGTAGTATAAATAAATGAGGTGATCCAAGAGGCATAACCCACTTCATAAGCCATGTCCTCCATGGCTACCCCGGGCCATAAGGATTGCGTGACTACACTGGATGTTCTTAGAAATGAAAGTTTAAGTATCCAGTTAATTTTCATTTTCAAAGAACTCCTCATACTAAACTTTCCCATAGTGTAGGGAGGTGAGGTGAAGGAAGAATAAACCAGGGGACCAGATCTTTCGCTGATGTAAATCACCATTGTTCCATTGAGTTCAATGAAGCAATGCTGAACATCTTTCTCTGGCCCTTTATCTCACCAAGTAAATGGGAGTTTCTTTCCCAGGAAAAAGATAATATTCAAACAAGCTCTTTTACAAAGTAATAACTGGCTTCTGTTTTCTTTATAGGCTTCACGGATTGTGATTGAGATGGAATGTACCAAGGTAAGAACTATTTCTCTACATTTTCCCAGTGTCTTTTATTTTTTAATTGCATTGTGTTATTATTTGTTTTGTGGGAGCATTTAAAAAAGAATATCACCATGTGCATAAATATTTTTCTCCTGAATGTTTGGTGTGGCTCTCACAGAAAATCTTAATAAGACAGATTGACTTTTGAAGGACTGGCATTAATTTGAGGCTTTGATGATCTCAACTTTAGAATTCCCATCCTTCATACTCCTCATCCAGTAAGTTCTGGTCCGTTCATTCTATTGACGCTATAGTAGGACATGGACAATGCTATTCAAACACTTTCACAAAAAGTTGACACTGCCTGTGGTTTCTACTCAAATCTGAGTGCATCAGTATCCAGTTTGTTTTTATTTTCGGGGAGATACCCTATCAGTTCTCATATCAGACCATTACATAGAGTAGGGTAATAGAATGGAAACAAACTTCTCGGGTTCTTCACTCAAACAAAGCATGAAAAAGTGTTTATTTACCTGAAACAATATGGTATTTATACAAGCTCTTTAAGAAGAAGTAACTGGATTCTGCTTTTCTTACAGAAAGGAGGAACTTACTCAAGTAGCGGTGGATGTATTCAGGTAAACATTCCTTCTCCAGAGAGCACTGATTCACTACTTGCCATCCACAAATGACAAGAATTGCTTACTTAGAGTTTCTCTCTCTTAAATTTGAACTGGTTGCAGGGAGGAGAAATGATTACTCCCCATTCATCAGAATTTCTAAGAATGTTTCTACTTGTGATAGGCAAAGCTATCACAGAAACTGACCTATATCATGTAGTATCTCTAACTCAATTTCTTCTTTCCATTTGACAATTTGCCTTTGGGTGAATAAAATCCGCCAAAACTTCTAGATATCTATTTGTCATTCCTGCTATATCCTCCAGATGTTTCTCTCTAAGGTCAGATAAGCTCAAGACTTTCCGCTGTCAGCTTATTTCCTTTATCTTCACTTTCCAGCCATAATGATTCCTTCAGGTTTTGTAGTTCCACCAATATCACTTACCTCACATATTCTGAAATCTTCCTTTCAGTATACAATAATTTCTATATGAAACTGAATAAAATATGAGTTTTGTTTAAGAAACAAAAAGGTGACAGCTCAGTGAAGATGTCTTTTTTGTTTTGCCTTTCTTGCTCTCAGCAACTATGCTATACATTTCATACACTCCAATGGTTGTGTAGTCAGATTGCTAAATAGCTGCGTACAATCATTTTTCATCTGAACATTACTTAGTTTGGAACACCTAAAAGAATTTACCAGCTCAGGCTCACTCCTAGTGCTGGGCATTAAATATGAGGCTGAAACCTCATATTTAGTAAGTAAATGGAATAATGCCAATATAAACCCACTGAAGATCTGGCCCAATATGTATATTTAGGATTGTTTGTGTGGAGAGGGGAATAGGTTTAAGTTCTCTGTAGTAAACTTTTTAATGGTGTAGTTTGGTGGAATGAAATGACCAAAAAATGTCCCCTGTGGTATTTCATTCCACAAGGTAGTTCTTTTTTCCCCCTGAAGCAGCAGTTTATATAGAACTAGTCCTTTGCAAAATTAATAATTGATTTCTGATTTGTTTACAGGGTGGATCCTCTGGTTCCTCTCAGACCAGCTATTCTATTGGTCAGGTAAGTACCCTAGCTCCTCTCTATTTATTTATAATTTTTCCCCAGTGTTAATTTTAGTATACTTGAGTATCCAAAATTATAGAGATAGAGACTGACTGATGTTATTCAACTCTGTGGTAAAATATGTCTCTGTCAGTAAGCTCAGGGATTCCAAACAGTTACTGATCCACAAATGCATGGTAATAGTCAATAATCATACAGGATCTAAGTCCTTGCAGGTTAACTTGTTGTTGCACTCAGAACTCACCATCCTCATCCTCACAACAAACATGGCCACCTCTACTTTATTAACCAAGCATTAAGCTGATACTGTCAACAAAACAATAAATAAATCCTTGTTTCCTTATTTGTGGTGTTAATGCTATCTGGAATTATTTAAAAAATGAAATTATTCCACGTAGCTAACTTGTTGTTTCACCCCTTTAATAGTCACCTATTTTTTTCATTCCACTTGGACAATAAAAATAGAATGTGCAGTTTCTCTTTTGTTTCTAGCCATTTTCATTTTTTCCTTTTAATTCATTCACAAAATGTTACAAAACTTTCTGACCTAACGTCCTTGACATTCACTTAATTCAATAATATTTGCAACACCATCTCTAATGCACAGCATATGACCCCTTCAACGTGGGACTACTTTTGTAATTGATTTCATTTCCGATTGGCCTTTTTAAATTCCAAGTTATATATGTGTTGTTATGGAACAATTTACATCTTTTTAATCCAAGTTGTTTTGGGCACAATTATATTTGCACTTAATTTCCTTCCTAATAGATATGGGCCTTTTTAAACCCACAGGGTCAAATTCATTCTTATTTTATCTCTGTTGGCTTGAACTGAGTTACGCTGTAGATGTACTTAGTGTATTTATTAGTGAGTTATTTGGGAACAGTTTCCACTCCACATACCCCATCCCCAAACCTTGTTGATTCCAGTTATGTCCGGCTATTGTGACACTCTCTGAATAGGTATTTCTTAAGCAATACTGTTACACAGCAAATACTGATTTCCTTAATCTTCAGTTTCAAGCAATAATTCTGTTTTCTCTCTCTTTTCACCATGTGTATGGACTGGGGTTTGGATTGGCATGCCTTGTGTATGGATCTTTTTCCTGGATTTTGCTTACACTTAGGAAATCTTACTAACTCAGACTGACTCCTGAAGGAGACGTATTAAACTGCTAGAGCCCTAGGCAGGTCACTTTCATTAGAATTTCTCTCCTCCATACCCAAAGCTCACTGAAGTCAATGAGTGTCTTTCCATTGACCTCATTCGGATTTGGATTAGGCTCCATATGACTAGTTCAGGTCAAATATCCCCTCAGCATATGTGGTATTTTTTCAGTTTTGATGACTCTTCAGCAGAATCCTTCTGCTACCACTATATCAAGACTTTCTAGTGTAAAGCAATAGATAAAGGCAGACAAAATGGAATGTGAAACTTCTGTTACCCTTCACCTTACCACACAGGAAATTACAGGAAGGTTATCTTTCTAAAAAGCTATTGTAGTCTAACAAGTCCTTCTACAAATAAATGGCTGATTTATGGTTTCTTTACAGGGTGTGCAAGGTTCCTCATTGGCTGGCAGTAGCTATATGAGCTCCAAAGTATTAGAGTTCGTTTATTTATTTATATAGTTGATCAGCATTTAGCTCAGTAAGCGCCTGATACAAAGTGAATTGAAATCAATTGAAATACTCCCATTGATGTCAATGTTCAGGACCACACTGCAGTGATAGTTATCAGTTTCATTCGGTTCCTTACTTTTTGTTGTTGAGGCTCTTGCTGAAAGGTCACATTATTACAGACAGAAAGCAAGAGAATCACAATACTTCTTTTTCTCTTATCATCCCAGTAAATTGTTTTCTTCTATTTGTTGCATTTCAGACCTCTTCATCCCCACCTCTTTTCAGTTTGCAAAGTCACCTCACTAAATTGCATGTACAACAATTGTTTTTCTCCTCACATGCACTTCTTGGAAATTTTACTTACCTCAGTCTTGACTCCTGAAGGCTGAGTATGGAATTTTTGTGGGCTTACATACCTCACCCTCCATTAAAATTTTCCTTCCCCTCCTTCATGCTCCCTCATGTGATTAGCTCGGCTCACTGCATTTATTCCAAACCATGGACTATTTTCCATTTTCAGCATCTTTCAGACAAACAGAACTTTTTCTCCAGTAAAATGATACCTTCTATAGCGTGGGCTTGAAATCTCACTATATGTAGTTAATTTACTTTTATTTTCAAATAAATCTTTCCTTTACGTTCCAATTTTATTTTTATGAACGTGTTCATTACAGTGGTTCCTGAAGGCCAACCAAGAGTAGGACCCCATTGTGCTAGGCACTGTACAAACAGAGAAGTAGAAGATCCTTACTCCAAAGAGCTTACAGTCTAAAGAGACAAGACAGACACAGGATGGAGGAAGGGGTAGAGCACACAAGCAGAGTAATGTGATGGCAACAATTATTATGTTCCATGATTTTTTGTGGGGTGGTATTTAAGATGGGATCAACTACATGGAAGGAAAAGGGAGGGGAAGGGGCAAGGGGGAGAGGACATGAGAGGAGAGGGTAAGAGAAGCAGGTGTGGAGTGACGTTGAGGTGAAGAGACTATGAAGGAGGAGAGGGAAGGAAGGTTGGATGAACAGTCAGTCAATGCAAGGCAGAGAATATCCAGTCAAAACTGTAGAAAGTTCTTTGAATGTCTGAAGGACCAGAGGTCCCTGCTTCTGCCTATATTGGCTGGCAGCTCTGGCTGGTTAGTGTCTCCAGTTTTCTCCCAAGCCCCATGACAAGCAGAAGGGGAGGCACCGCCTGGGTCCTAGAGCCCCCAGAGTCAGTATGGGGGGGTCTCCCCTTCACAGTGTTATATGCAGGAGGGTGCTGGGGGGAGGGGTGGTCCCAGCTGGGTCCATTTGACTGCCTCCCCGCCAGTGCTGCTTTTGGCTGCTTCTGCCCCTATCAGCTAGAATCTCAAATTGAAGGAGGGAAAGTCTTCTGAGGTGAAGGGTAGGAGAATGGATGGAGACATCATGGAACGTGGAACCTGCTCTTGTCCTTCACCTCACCAGGGAGGTAGCCAGAGGGAGTTCTCTGTTCTTAAAACAGTAGCTTAGTTTAGCAAGCCGTGTTACAAGGAAATATATTATTTCCAATTTCTTTATAATTTATCCATGTTTCACAGGACAGCAACAGCTATTCCCAAGTCAGCCTCTTTCTCTAGTTTGTAGAAGGTATCCCCACAATGCAACTTTTAGTAACTTTCCAGGTGGAGAATTAGTTCCCTACTTCTGTGGTGAGGGGTTTGATGAAGGGCTACATGCCTAAGGATAAAATGGTATGGAAAGTAAGAGGATGGCTGAGGTTATCCTACTGAAATGGAATTGTTCCAGGCAATCACAGCATATGTGTGTGCCACAGTTACTGACTCAAACGGTATAATAACGTCCACCTGTACGTATCCCCAGTCTCCACATACGGCTGAATGGCAACACAGACTTTTGGTGCTGAAAATTGCAGCTTTCTTTTTGCGTGTTTCATAAAGCATGGAAATAAGTGGCATCTTCTTTCTTTCAGGTTGGAGTCATTCCTCCAGGAAGCAGCCAGGGTGGATGTGTCCCAGTAAGCACTTTTCTCATCTTCACTGAATTTTGTTCCAGTGTGACTATTTTAACTACAATGCTTAGCTATCAGTTACATTAGTGTTAATGTAGGAGCTTTTGTTTTATAGCAAAAGTAATGTAGAAAAACTAAGAAATGATTTTGACAATGTACTATTCAAGTAGAATAGACTCAGCTAGTCTCAGCTAATCAGAAAACAAGGATGCTGCCCAGTTCGTAGACTCATAACATTTATAGACTATGCCTGTCTGTGTATTCTGATTTGCTGCTGACCTCAGAATTCAGCAGCTGTAACTCCACAATAAATATCGCTACTTCCATTTTATATTCCTTCCTATTAAAGGAACACTGTCAGGTTAAAATCTTAGACAAGTAAATCCAATTATCCGGTAAAGCGCTAAGCACACTCAGTTTCTACTGAAGTCTGTGGGTTGAGAACACTCAGCACCTCACAGGACTGAGTGCTTGGAGAACATCTGAAATGTTCATATCATGAGAGGCTGGAATAAATAAAACTCACTTCTGTATGAATTTTGAATTCAGCAGAAAGAAACTAAAATGTAGTAATCAGTGTTTACCTTTATTTTGGAAAAAAACATCCTTGCTTCTGTTACTAATAACACATAAGATTGTTACTATTAAAAGAACTTTTAAAATGTACACTACTTTTCACCATTTATGCTGGTTCTTGACATTTTACATTTCATTCACTTTGAACAATGAAAATAGAAGGCTCCATTTAACTTTTATTTCTATTCAGTTTAAGCTTTCTGTTTTACATGCACCAGCAAAATACTTCAATGTTGGGCTGTGTAATGGGGTCTACAAACCCCATACTGAGCATAAACAGAAGGGAGAGGAGAGTCTCTCCTGTTTACAAGCGAGCAGTCAGAGGCAGGCACGCACAGCCACAAAGGAAACAAGGCCTGCTATAAAGGGGAGAGTACAGAGAAGGAAGAGGAGGCAGAAAGGCCTGGGACAGCAAAGAGGTAACCTGCGCCAGGCTCCCTCCACGAACACAGCCAAGAGACTCGGTCCAAGAACTGCCCTGACTGAGAGCAAACTAAGGAGGGCCAGTCAGGAGAAGCAGAAGTCCCTCAAAATACCATACCAGGAGACAGTGGCAGGCTACAAACACAATGCGGGTGCTTTTTAAAAGCAAATTTAAATTATTTTTCTATTAAATAAACTATTTACAAAATCTGTCAAACATTTCTGTTAATACCAACATATATTAATTTATTTAGGGCCAGAATGTGCCTAGCTCTTTTGTGGAGGTACAGTGCAGAACTGGGGGAGGCATCAGGATCTTTTGCATCTCCCAGACTTGAGGACCAGCCAGAGTTGAGGTTCTGTGTACTTGTGCTTACTCTCCTCTAGTAATTCTAACAACAGTAACAAAATAAGTGCTTTCTGTTTCCTCTACAGGGCACTGATGGCATATACAGCAAATATGGCTGTAAAGATGTAAGTATTTGTTTGCCTCTGTATTTGATGTTTTCTCCCAAAATGCAACTCAATAACTCAACAGTTTGTTGCAAATTGTATTAGCTCCATTACAGTCATTGTGTTGCAGAGTTGGATTACTCTGGATAAAGATGAGGCAGGAGCTAGAGGATGTCTGAGGTTAGTTAGCATTATACTGAAACAAAATTGTCTCAGCTAACGAAGCACGAAGATGTTGTAGGGTTACTGACCCAAAAGTATATGCTAATTGTCAATAACCATTCCACTAATTTGTTAGTGGTCTGATATGTCAACATCCGTATCTCTAAAACAAGAAAGACAACCATAACTGTTAGTTTCTATCCCCAGTTCCATATTCTGCATAACTATTCCCTACCTTCATCTGAGATGATGCTCTTTGTATTATTCTTAGTCAATTACTGCCTGCTTTTAGGATTCCTCTTTTAAATATTGTCATCCACCCCATATTGTGTAGTATATCACACTCACTGATCAATTTAGTCTTTCTTTTCTTGGTGGAGTTCCCTTTGCATGGCTGAAAAACATGTCCCATAATATCAGTTGATTCTTTTAGCAACGGGTTTTTTTTTTTGGTATTTAATCTAGAGAATTTATGTACTATCAACTTCCCTTTTTTCTTATAATTTTATTGAAATGACATTATTTTCTATTTTGAATACCATAGAAACAAGCAAAATATTTTCACCAGAAAGGTGGCATTTTCTCTGATGTCTACTGAGAACTAAGGCCCTGATCTAGCAAAGCACTGTTTACAATGGGACTACTGCCATGCTGTGCTTAAAGTTAGGCTTGTGTTTACATGCTGTGCTGGATCATGACCTAAACATATGAGTGTCAACTTTAATTTCAAAAGAACACCATCCATTAAACTTACATATGATGTAATGTAGTTGAATGTTGGAAGAGTCTGATCTCTGGATTTACACCAAGGTTACTAAGTAATTTAACTGAAGTCAGAGGAGTTACTCTGAATTTATTCAGATGTAACTGAAATCAGAATTTAGCTTAATATTTGTACCTTCCCCTAGTCCTCCATGCCACCAAACAAAGAATTCCATATAGCAGTGGTTCCCAAACTTGTTCCGCCGCTTGTGCAGGGAAAGCCCCTGACGGGCCGGGCCGGTTTGTGTACCTGCCGCGTCCGCAGGTTCAGCCGATCACGGCTCCCACTGGCCGCAGTTCGCTGCTCCAGGCCAATGGGGGCTGCTGGAAGCAGCGCGGGCCGAGGGACGTATTGGCCGCCACTTCCAGCAGCACCCATTGGCCTGGAGCAGCAAACCGCGGCCACTGGGAGCCGCGATCGGCCGAACCTGCGGACGCGGCAGGTACACAAACTGGCCCGGCCCGCTAGGGGCTTTCCCTGCACAAGCGGCGGAACAAGTTTGGGAACCACTGTTGTATAGGTTTCATTTCCAAAAATGGTATTTTATTGAAACACGCCATTTTAGAAAGAAATAACTAGTCTGTGATTTGTTTACAGACTGCTGTCTCAATTAACACCGGCATGTCCTATGGCCAGGTAGGAACACATTCTCTACTGTATTTAGAGTTTAAACTTGCTATGCAACTCAATAATTTAAACAGGTAGGCCCAAATTTTGCCCTACTGTGAGGAAATCCATGGGAGGACCTCAGAGAGGGATGTCCTGAAATTATTAGGTAATATTACTAGCCCAAATGATTTCAGCAGATGAATGCTGTATTTATGGGGCATTACATGGCTCCACCTTGTTAGTTTCCTTCTTCCTGGTTAAACTGACCCTGGGTTAGTCATTTTTTCTGCAAGTGGACAGCAGATATTTTCTATTTTGATTACTATTGGAAACAAACAAAATATTTTCACCAGAAAGGTTTTATCTGGTGGATACTCAGAACAAAAAGCAAAGCTCACACATAGGAGTTTCCTCTGATTCTGCTGTATGGGAAGTGTATGTGTCGGTCAGTGTGGTGGGAGGTTCCTGGAAAGTGTTTTAAACTTCATAAAAGCATTTCTGTTCATATGGAGATTTCCATTACTTCCAGCTGTCTCTGTTCCTACAGTCTTCTATGTTCTCCTGATGTTTCTACCTCTGATCAAGGGAATCAAGGTCTAACTTTCTACTATCAACGTATGACTTATCTTCCATTTCAAATAATCATTTCACTCTACTTAACATTCCACCTAGATTTGTTACTTCAACTATTTGAAACTTTCTTTTCAACATAAATTTGTTGTGTATGAAACTGGCAGAAATAACTGGGTATTGTGCTAGAAACAATGGCGACAATTGGGTTACAATAACTCTTTTCCCTCTTGTGCTCCCATTAATCTGTTGCATGTATTCTTCATTAATTGCCTCACATAAGAATACTTTTTCTTTCAAATGTTTCATGGTTTGGCAATCCAAGAAGATCTTAGAGCTATTACTGTCTCCTGTCTGATAGGTACTGAATTAAATTTGGCAAACTCTTTTCTAAGTAAATAATTTGTTTCTGTATTCTTCACAGTCTGTCTCCTCAGGCAGTGGTGTTAAAAAGGTAAGCACTACTTCTCTGTTGAATTTAAAGGGCCAGTTTCTCTGCAGGTGTAAATCGGTATAGCACCTTTAACTTGAATGAAGCTATTACTAGTTTACCCCAGCTGAGATGCTGGCCCAAAGCTGTTTCCCATATTATCTCTCAGTAACTGAATACTTGGTTTACTAGCTGTCAAATGTATTAGGTTCATTAGTTATATTTTGGCAACTTTTCTTGACAGGTTGACTGTACTGTGGATAAAGTAGTATAGTTACAAAGCTGTCTATGCATTTATTTTTTTATTTATTTTTTAGACATCCTAGAATGGAAGGCACTATAGTTATTGTTACAAAGGGAACTTTAGGATGAGATCGATCTAAACTCATCCCTGGTGTAAAGCCAGTGGAATTGGCACCAGGGATTAATTTGGCCCATAATACTGAAACCAAATAGTCTCAGACAAACAATTGGAGTACAAGGATGTTGTACAGGGACTGAGTCAGTATTGTATGGAAATGATCGATAAACACATAGTAGGCAAATCCCTACACTCAGATTTGTGACTGGTCAGACCTCTCCATCCAAATCACCATAACTATGGCCACTTCAATTTTCTATTTATTCCGGCATTAAAAGGATACTGTCAGGTTTTTTAAAATTACCTATTTTTAAAATCAAACGACCCAGTCCTCCCTCTCATCAGAATTCCCTTGTATATGCGATTTAAAATCACTTCCTGTCACAGTAATTACTCCACTCAAGGATACGGGCTATTTTCCTTTTTTAATTCAGTCAAAACAAACTTTTCACCAAAAAAATAACATTATGATCAAAACAACATATTACTATTGAGCTTACTTTAATTTTCAAAGGATCTCCATATTATCCTTTCCCATAGAATAGGAGTGAATAAAAGGACACAAAACGGAGTGTGCTTTGGCCTTCCATCCAAAGGACCAGTGGATATGTGAGGATATGTCTACACTGCACAGCAGCAGCAGCAGCCTGCATCAGCAAGTCTCCGAGTCCGAGTCTATAAATTCGGGTTTGTGGGGCTCATGCTATGACACTAGGAACAGCTATGTAGACCTTGCAATTAGGGCTGAAGTTCAGGTTCTGAAGCCCATCCTCCACTCTAGGCTTCAGATTCCAAGCTCCAGCCCAAGCCTGAACATCTACACAACTACTTTTAGCACTGTAGCACAAGCTCCTCCAGCCTGAGTCTGTGAGACTCACTGCTGGGGGCTGCCACTTGCTTCCCAGTGATTCACTGTTGGCCTTGGGCAAGTCACTTAGCTCTTGGTGCTTCAGTTCACCCATCTGTAAAATGGGGATAATAATACTTTTTGTAATGTGGTTTCAAATATATAAAAACGCTATATTGTGTAAGTGCTAGTCATTATTATTCCTTCAGACTTTTAAGTGCAGAGAGGTTTCTTTTCATGAAACAATACTGCATTTTAAATAAACCCCCATTATGAGAAAATAACTTGTTTCTGGTTTCATTACAGCCAGTGTCCTATCCCGACAGCAACCCCTACCCACCTGTGGTAAGCATCCTTTCTCCACAACTCTTAGAGTTATGAATCTAAGTGCTTCTGAATAGCCACATGCTTAGCTCTCAGATACAGCAGTCTGGTTGTTGGGCGGAAGCTTTTGTTGAGCGGGATTATATTACTGATGCAATAGTGCATAGAGAAAGAGGCTGACTAAATAACTAAAAGTTACATCCAAATCTAAGAGATCACTGCAATGATTTGATGTTATCCAGAAATGAAATTGTCTCAGTCAGGTTACAGGAATGTTGTTATTGACTCACAAGTATGTGATTACGTTGTGTAATTGGATAGTGGTCTGATTCACTGCTGATCCCAGAACTTACTGTCCATTATATCTATCTCGAACAAGGCCACTTCATCTTCCTGTTTCTATTGCAACTTTCTTCTGTAAACTTACTTCAGTCTTTAGTTTCCAGCTGTTGAAGTTCTACTGTACCCATTCACTTTGAAATCTTTCTTTCAGACTAAAATAATTTCTGCCTAAAAGTGGATGAAATATTTAGGGCTTGTTTCAGAACGAAATGTGGCAAAAAACCCTTTTTTCCATTTTCCTCCAATAACCTTCCTTAGAACTAAATCCTTCAGATTCCTCTATTCTTGGTGTAGTCAGCTGACTGAAAAGCTGCACATATCTCACAAATGATGGATGTTAAATGTATGGACACCTCACCGTGCATCAGAATTCTCCCCCCCCCCAACACCCCCAATATTCTAGGGTACAAAGAGACTCCAACAGACTTCCAGGCTTTGGATCAGACTCTGTGTACTCTATAGGAAGACATAGACTACTATCATTTTAGGTGCCATTCAAATGAACAGAACTCTTTCACTAGGGGACAAAAAGTGTCATAATTTCTAGTGTGTACTCAAAACCGAATGGAGAAGTATACACACCACTTTAATTTTCAGAGACTCATCATACATGGTAAACCTTTCCATAGTGTAGATGGTGCAAAATGAAGAGAGACAAAATAGGCTGTGCACTTGCCTTTGGTCTTTCACTTCACCCAGGCAATAGGGTTCTTTTTCTGAAGCAGTATTCTATCTTAAACAAACCCTTACACAAAATAATCAGGTTTCTGGTTTCTTTTACAGCGTGAAACTTTCCCATCGGTAAGCATATTTTTTTTCTTCTTCTGTATTTATAATGTCATGCTATTATGAGTGCAAATCCTATGCCTGGTTTCTGCCATATGGAAGGATGTCCATGATCCCTGCAGAACCAGTGGGACCGATCTGTATGGAAGTGGCATAGGATTTTGGGTGGATTGCTGTTAGGAGGCGGAATGGAGCTTCACCTGAAAATTTTCATTCCACTAGATAAAATGATCAAAGGACAGATACTATGCATCCATATAAGGCCCAGGCAGAGAGGGTGAGGGAGCATAAAGGTTTGTCCCCAACCTATTATGGCCCACAAAAAGGCGAGGCAGAGTTCCAGTTTGTTCAAGGGCAGCTCTATCCCTATTCACATTGCAACAAGGCTCCAACCCCCTCTCAAGCACCAACAAGCTGAGCACTGTGGCACTGTCAGCCACAAAGGGCTGTAGTAGCAGGCACTCTAAGGCTATGTCTACACTGTGAGCTAGGGTGTGGTTCCCAGCTCATGTAGACATACTTGTGCTAGCTCTCATCATGTGGCAACACAGGCTAGCTGTGCCAAGTACAACCCCACCTGAAGCCTGTGAGGTACATACTCAGTATGACTAGCTTGTGCCACTGCCTGTGCTACTATGGCTATGCTTCTATTTTTAGCACACTAGCTCAATGAGAGCTAGTGTGAGAGTGTCTACATGAGCTGGGAATCACGCCCCCAGCTCTGAGTGTAGACATACCCTAAGTTAAGCTAGGGACCTGCCAGCCTGCTTCCTGAGCATATATGCAGAGCACAGATCAGCCACATCTGAAGATCTAGCCCAGAATTATATCCAGTTTATTTTTAGTTTCAAAGAATCTCTCCATAAGTATTGTGTGGTGGAAATGAGGAGATAAAATCAAGTTTCACCTGCTGCTTTACTCCCTTAAGCAGGGAAATACAAATCATTCTTTCCTGAAAGTGTATTTCATTTAAACAAGCCCAATTCAATAGCCCCTGGTTTCTTTACAGATCTTGGCCAATTCTGGACATGGCGGCAGCAGCAGCATTATCCATTTACAAGTAAGCACGCTTTCCTGATTGTGTTTACAGTTTAATCCCAACATGTTTCTAAGTGAACTGAATGCTTATTCAGCTCCAGTGGATTAGTTGAATGGGAGCCTTCATTGAAAATGGACAAACTATGGACGGAGAGCTAGGGGATGTCTAAGATTATCTGACAGTGGTCTCAGCAAGTCAAGGATGCTATAAATTAGTGACTCAAGACTATGCCGTTATTTTTAGTAACAATACAATCATGATTCTTTAGTACTCTCAATATCTACGTGACCTTAAGCATCTAGGCCTGCACATCTTCCAAGGCCAGATCACAAGGTGATGTAAACTGGCAAAGCTCCACTGGAGTCCATGAAGATAGATTGATTTGTACCAGCTGAGGATTCTGGCCCTCCATTTTATTCAGTATTAAAAAGATTTTGCAGGTTACAAGTCAAAATTGTAACCTGAGAGTTTACAAGCTCTTTTACATGGTAATAAGTAGTTTGAGTTCTCTACAGACTTCTTCCTCATATGAGATGAAAGTCCATACTCAAATGAGCATTTTCCCTTCTGTACTTATAGTTTTGTGTCAGCATGTCTCTTTGTAACTGAACAATTAATTAATTAGCAATTAGATTATGTCCATTACTTTTATTGAAGGGTTACATCATACTTTTATATCCTACGAGGAGATAAATGGCTTCTGGATTATACATAGTCTTACCCACAAGGCAAACAGTGACCTGCCCTCCACTCTTCTTCCCTATTATAATCAGTAAGGCCATGGGCCAGATTGTCAGTTTCACTGAAGTAGCTACACCAGTTTACACAAGCTGAGAATCTGGCCCAGTGTGTTTATGACTGTCATGGCAAAAAACAGTTACTTTAAGGATATTTTAATACATTTGCCAGCCCAGTATGAAGAGAGATCCCTCCATGATTTTTTTTTGTCTAATTTGGCTCTATACATGGTCACTAGTGTGGATTACTTGGTTTTTGAAATGGTTTTAAACAATATTATGTTGTAAAGTGAAGAAGATTTGTCTCATAATTGCACATGATTTTTATTTTAAAGTTGTATACCATGGCTTTTCCTTTTGTTTTTTTTTTTAAATCTATAATTAAAGGTTTGCATTTTGCATTTGGCCATAACAAATCTGTATTAAGACAAATCTGTGTTTGGTGAACAGGATTATTTGGACCACTTGGAAATACTATAAAATCAAACAGAACTTATTCTATAAAATGACATTTTCTCTGAAAATATAACAACTGGCACTAGATAGAGTGGTGGAATAACAGGAGGGAAAACTGAACCTCGTCTAGTTTTTCATACCACAAGCATAGTATGGTTTCTTTTTTTGAAACAATATACTATAGGAACAGTTCCTCATCAAAAAGAAATTGGCTTCTGGGCTCTTTATAGAGTGGACACTGTTCCTCGGGCAGCAGCAATATTTATGTAAGCAACACATTGAGAACTTTTCCATTGACTTGAGCAGGAACAGTAGAATTTTGAAACTGCTTCCCCAATATTTTATCCATTGTTTAATTCTATTTTAGGTTTCCCAGAACTTTTTAGATTTATTTATGGTTTTTTTCTGAAAAATCATTTTTATGTTCCCTAATAGATGCGTGTAAAATGTCAGGGCCCCAAAACATCCTTTATCCATATTTTTGTGTGTGATAAGTAAAGGCAAATCAGTATATTTCACTCAGTAGAGGACATAGTCCACTTTCTCTTTGGAAAAATTACATAAATAACCAGAATTATCTTGCTGAAAGACTATGTTTTCTCTTACTTAGAAAGAACCCCCACATGAAAACTTCCCATAGATGTTCTTTGTACAAACTGTACACTCTTTTAACAAACCCCTTTTCCAGGTGATAACTGGTTTCTGATTTCTTTTAAAGAGATCACAAAAAAGCCAGTCCTATGGCCGAGTAAGCCTCTCCCACCGCAGTTTTACTTCAATGTGCTGCTTTCTAACTAAACATGTGCTTACCATTTGATTATGGCTAATTGTTATGGTTGTTGGAGCCTTGCTTAAAGAATTAAATAAATGTGATTAAAAATTGAGAGAGGTGAGTGAGACTCTGGGAAAGCTCATCTAGCTAGCCAGTTTGGGATTCCCATGTCATGTAGAGCCAATATGGCCAGCACATCACCTTCTAGTATATGTAGAACGATGTAGTACATTACTTTGCCCCCCACTCCTAAGCCCAACGTAGTAGGTGTTGCAGGAAGAAGGAACATGGCCAAAACACTGCTGTGCTCTATCAATTGCCAACTATGGAACAGTCCCTTGCGGAGATTCAGGTGTTGTCTACACTAGATCTGACACTACCACCAGTGTGTTAGAATAGACAGGACTCACCCATTTTTACCACAGTTTACTGATGTGGTGATAAAACCACTTGTGCCTGTTCTACAGTAGTGCATCATCTGGTACTAGCAGGAGGGTAGCACATCCCACTGGGAGTAATGCATGAAAATTTCTAGTGTGGACATGGCTACAGTGGAGTCTTCTCCTTCCTCTAGTCTTTCCCTCCCACATATAGGCAAATAAAAATAGGTGTCTTTTGAGCAAGCAGTAAAATATTCAACATACAAACCCATTTACAAGGAAATAAATGGTTTTTTCACAAGGTTGTCTTCATCACAGAGCGGCAGTATCTTTGGTCAGGTAACCACCTTACAAACAAACAGATCCTATTTGACTAAAAATATTACATTTCTCAAAATGAAAATTGTCTTTGTATTCAATTTATTTAATATTTGGAGGAATCCCACCCATACTAAACCAATCCATAGTGCAGGGTGGATGAACAAAGGGAGGCAAACATGGAACCTCCTGAGGTCCTTCACTCCACCAAACAATTTATACATTTCTTTTCTTGAAACAGTGTTGTATTTAAACAATCTATTTTACAAGGAAATGACACGGTTTCTGGTTTCTTTACAGGGTGGACAGAGAGTCAATCCTTGTGATCAAGTGAGTATTCTCCCTTCCCTACTTCCTCCCACTGTACTTGTGTTTTTATCTAACTTGCCTCTTAGTCCAACTCGCAACAAAACATTTATTTACTACTTCCATTAATTGTTGTGTGGCAGCTTTTGTTGAAAGGTAGCATTACTATGGCTAAAGTAATAGAGAAATCTAGAGGATGATGGTGGCTACTTAAATGATAAGTACAGGGTTCTTCCTTTTTTATGAGGTAATAACAATATCCTGGGTTGAGTGAACTCTGAGGCTGAAAATCAAGGTGTATAGAAGGAAAACAGCTCCTTGGCCAGAGGTGGAGTTTGCTAGCCAGTATATGATTTATTACCAAGTTGAAAGATTGTTCAATTATTATTGATTACACTGACATTTTTAATTTGTTTTTTAAAGTTTCAATTAAATAGAAGAAAAAATACAAATAAACCGGGCTGTAAAACTGCTGAGACACAAATTGTTTAAAAATTAATTTCCTACTCCATGTTCATATTTATTTATATTTTCTTTACCCAGGTCAGTAAGGCATTTCTCCACAGTTTAACTCTAATATGTGTGTTTACATTGCATTGCAAGACTGAATTGGGGTGCTTGAAACACTGGAATTTCCTCACTGTTTAAAAAAAAAAATGGAGACAGGAGTAGTTGGCCCATTAGGGAGCAGATTGTTATCCAAACGTTGGATACATCCTCTGAGGAGTGACTTCAGGGCAGGAAACTTTCTATGTGGAAACCATATGTACCAAGGGGGAAATTTTCAAAGTAACATGGAATAGTTAGACTCCCATCTCTTATTGAAAGTCAGTGGTCACCTTACTCTTAAAAAATCTGCCCCAAAGTCCTCTAGGCACACAGGTTTCAAATTTTTATCTGAAGTAAGGCACCTACAGAAAAGTGGCCTGATTTTTCCAGAGGTGCTGAGCACCCACCTCTCCTATTGACATGAGTGGTAGCTAGAGATGCTCATCACCTCTGAAAGTCATCAGTGTTATTTAGATGCCTATAATATGGATTTGGAGGCCTATCATTAGAGACAGATTTGAAAATATTGACCTTAGTACTTAGGTGCCACACTGCAGTTTATACAGGACATTTTGCAGAGCTAGACCACCATAGGGAGATTTTGGGAATTGTGCTGAAATTGTGTCTCCTAGAGTCCCCAGGGCTACAATCTACCCAGAGTGGGTCTGGAGAGAGGAGTGCAAGTTGGGACCATACCTTCTTTCCCCTCTCTAAACACCAGGCAGTGTCAAAGCGCTCTGGTTGTGACACATTCCCCCTGGCAATTTCTTCTAGATTGGTATGGCCTGACAGTGCCCTTCATATAGACCAATGTATAATTCACTAATTTGGCCCATAATTATCTGGGGTATTTTTGGTTTTGGTGTCCGGTGGTGATCAGTAGACACAAAATAAGGACTAGGCAACTCTCTGCAGGCTCTCCCCTAACTGTGTAGATAAATGCAAATCGTTTTCTTTTCCTGAAATGTGGTTGTATTCAAACAACCCTGCATACACAGAAGTAACTGTTGTTGGGTTTCTTTACAGAGTTCATCCTCCTACAACATCATTATCTGTAAATTGGTAAGCACAATCTTACCACTGTGTGTAAAGATTTGTCCTGATGTGCCTCTCACAGTAACCAGAGATGTAGGGCTAGATTCTGGATGGTCCTTACACAGGCATGCAGTGGGGTGGAGGGAAGAGAGAGTTTTGAAGGATTACCGCAAAAAGAATGACCAGAATTGCTGCCCCTTCACAAAGGGGAGCACTGTACCCTGAAGGGGCAGATAGGAAGGAGCATAAGTTAACCATGGCTCTGCCCTCCCCATGGTGGGACATGTGTATGATGTACCCCTTTGTAGGGGTGTAGCAGTTTGCACCTCACCCACTGCACTGGAGAAGTGTGGGAAGCTTTATGAGACAGAATGTGTCTTCACTGCTCCCTATCAATGGTGAAAAGTAAAATAGGAGCTTATCCAACACTGTTAACTCAAGCAAAACTCTCATCAGGTTAATATTCTGGCAAAACACTTCAGATTCCTCTGTAGTTAAATAACCTGTGTATACACATTTGTCTGACTTTCCTAGGAGATGCTATTAGCTCAGATTGACACCTAAAGAATGATCATTGAATGTACACACACCTGGACACATCAATGTTCATTAGAATTTGCCTCTTCTATGCCTCTGTATAGATTCAAGGCCACTCAGTATATTTTCTCTGGAGGAGATTTGATTACCATTCAGTAAATGGTGCTCTTTCACCAGATATGACCCTTTCGTAGAAGTATACTCTCAACTTTCCATACTGTAGCCTAATGGAACAGAGACAAAGCTTGTACCCTTCTTTGTATATTCCTTCTGCCATCCAGATAAATACAGATGGGTTTCTTTTCCTGAAACAGTATGGCATTTAATCAAGCCTTTTCACAACAAAATTACTGATTTATGGTTTCTTTACAGAGACAATCTTCTACCTCACAGAACAGCAATACCCAAGTCCACGTATGTACTTTTATATCCATTCTATGGGTTTTTTGTATGTGTTTTTGTTTTGCTTTTAAGCACGGCAAGCTTCTAAGCAGCCAAAATCTTAAAACACAGATTTGGTATATTGGTGCCATTGGTGGTGAGAGCTATAAGGGGGAAAAAAATTTTTTTTTATATAACTACCGCAATCAAATTTACTTCTGTGAATATTCTAGCAAAGCACGCACGTTTGTGGTGAGCCAATACAAATGGTCCAAAGTCAAATAAAGAGCCATTGAGTTGACTGCAATTATTTGTGTTGTTCTTAAACAAGAGCAGAAGGATGCTGTGTAATTACTGACAATCAACTCTACATCCAAGTACTCCAACTCTACATCAGTTAACAGATGTATCCATGCAGTGGATAAATCCCTTTCTGGTGATTTGTTTCTCTCAGAACTCAATATATACAGATCAATAACAGCTAGAACCTCCACGGTTTCTTGTTTCTGTCTAACATTAATGTTAATTTAATCTTAACTTAGATATGTATTCAAGTTGCTGAGGTTCATACAATTAATTTAAAAACCAAGGAACCATTTTTTCACATCTCTGCTTATTCAGACTGTCCTCTTTTTACTCCTGTCCTAACTTTATGTTTATTATTGAATAATTCTGGAACAGTTTCCACTTCCTCTGTTTCTTTTTCTTTCATCTTTTTGGCCTCTCCCAGTTTTTCCCAAATTAATTTCAGATCAGCACATTTTAAAAAGGAACCACACCTATTTGCATTAGGGTCACTATTGCTTAGGGAAGCTGTCATATAGTTTCCAACCCTTTTGCAATTCTAGTCATGTCCTCTGTGTTATTCAAATGCTAAGAATCAGGCATAGTTAGATTCTTTCTTAAATGTTGTACGGACGCGATCATGTGGTTTATCCTTTCATAAAAAAATAACTGGCTTCTTTAGAGAAATCAGTCCTCCTCACAAAGCCAGGTAAACCATATTTATTTTTCTCTCAATTTTTTCCCTGAATGTTGCTTGCAGTAGTTGAGCACTCATAAGAAAACTTACTAGCTCAGACCAGCATCTAAAGGATGGTCATTCCATTGATGGGATCATGGATATCTCATACCTCATTAAAGGCTCAGGTGCACTTAACTACACAGACTCCATATATTCACATGAATACAATTTATGAATACAATTTAAATGAACAGCACTCTTCCATCTGAAAATCAAAATGGTCTCTGCATGCTCAAAACACAACATAACATCACTTTAACTTCTGCAGGTCCCATATTAAATCAGTGGAGTGGAGTCAAAGGTCACTAATACAGTGTTTTCCACCTGTTCCTTTCCTTTCACAACTAGGAAAATACCAATAGACATCCCTTGCACAAATAGTAGAGTATTTAAATATGCTTCTTTTTTTTTTTTTTTTTTTTTTTTTTTACAATGAAATAAATGGCTTCTGCTTCCTTTGCAGGGTCAGTCCACTTTCTCACAGGGCAGCCAAGTAAGCAACCTATTCTCCTCGCTCTTAGTTATCTTCTGAGTAATCAATCGCTTCCCTACTGTTTGGATTATGTCCTTTAGTTTTGGTATAATTTGTTGTTGCAGGGTTAAATTACTCTAGGTTAATATAGAGAGAGGGCTGATGGCAGGGGATACAGAATGCAGAAATGCTGTTTGCAACTGGTCCAAACTAGAACCGTCACAACATAGGCAAATCACTGCACTCTTCTTCACTAGTGCCCTGAAATTATGTCAAAATCTATGGGCCAAATTCTCTACTGGAGTAAATTGGCACCACTCTATTGAAGTGAATAGTGCTATGACAATTTATATCACCAAAGAATTTGGCCTTATTTGTCTCTGTCAAACATGACTTCCTTGGCTTCTTGTTTCTTCCTGTTGAATGGCATTCAAAGATCTAGTAATGCATTTTCACCAGAAGAGCAGTGATAGCTGGTGAGCTTTGGGGCAAGTGGTGCAGAGCAGGGGGAAAAAAAAAAAAAAAAGTCTGGTCCCGTGAATAACCTACTTGGCCCCTGGAGTCTGCACCAGGGCATGTGAAGCTGGTCCCTGAAGTGTATATGTGGACTGGAGAGGAGTTAACTGTAGAGTGCTCTAAAACTGTTGCAAGCTAACTTTTCCACGTTGGCCCTTCTGGCGCACTCTAGATCAGTGGTTCTCAACCTATTTACCATTGTGGGCCGCTTTGCAGCTCTCTGTGTGTTGTGGGCTGCATTCACATGCCATATATGTATGTATATAGCATGTATATATCGCCCAGAGGATGTCACATGGGCCGCAGCTGTGTGCTGACTGGGCCACAAGCGGCTCAAGGACCATGGGTTGAGAACCACTGCTCTAAAAGGTATCTAGAGCACGTTAACATAGTCCTGACTGAAAGGAGACTACATCAATGAGAACTAGGTACGTTTTAGTCCTCCAGCAGGGTTTAACATGGGTCAGTAAGATATGAACACTTTAATGACACTCTATAGTCACTGCAGCTTGTGGCTTGGGAAGTGAATCCAGTACCCTAAACCCCACTGAAAATCAGTGTTGGCTTCACCTTTGGTTAGACCTTAACTACACACGTGCCAGAGGAGTGGTGGTGGAGAACACCTTGTTACTAAATACAAATTACAAATACTGCAAATCTGTAGCAAGCTGCTATAGATTTGCTGTGTTTGCGATTCATATTTAGTCACATGCGTGTGCTCTCTCTCCTTCTCTCTCTCACATACATTCTATATGTGTGGACTTGCATACTTCGAAGAGTAATATCTGTTTTCAGTGTATTCACAACCAAGGGCCAGGGGTAGAATTTTCAGTCATCTGAGTGACTTAGGACCCTGACTCACATTTTCAAGAATTATTTAGACACTTAAGAGCCCAAATCCCATTGACTTTCAATGAGATTTAAGCTCTTACAGTAACCTGAGTCTCTTTTGAAAATGGGAGTTAGTTTCCTAAGTCACTCAAGTGCTTCGGAAAATTTTATCCCAGGTCCAAACCCCATTGCAGTCAATGAGACTTTCCATTGACTTCAGTGGACATTGGATCAGGCCCTAAATGTATAAGTACCTTCTTCACTTTAATTTTGAAAGGTAAATCTTTCCATAGTGTAGGATGGCAAGATAAAGGGAGGTAAGTTGGAGAACTTACTATCCTCTGGTGCTTCTCTCCTTCAGACAGAATTCTGTATATTTATCTTCTTGAAACATCATTTCTACAATGAAAATAAATTGTTGGGATTTTTTTTTCCCAGCAGGGTGGATCGGCTTCCTCCAGTGTCAGTACGGGTTGTGGAGACGTAAGTCCCTTTCCTCCTCTATATGTGAAGATTTGTCTCAATTTGCTACTTAGTATTAAAACATTTTGTTATAAATTGGATTGTGCCCATTAACTGAAGTAGGAGCTTTTTGTTTCCATTGTTGTGCCTGAAATTATACAGTGCAGAGAACCAGAGAGACTGACCTTGGCTACTGTACTGAACAGGAATGGCCTCAGTTAGACACTAGTATATAAATAATAGGTACAGTTAATGACCCATCCATTTTGAGAATAATCATTAACCATATAGTTCATAAGTACCTGAATTCGGATCCTCTACTCCTCCTAAATCACAAACAAGCACAGCCATGTGTGAATATTTCTCAACTAAATGTTGCTTCATTTAACACAACTACAATCCGAGATACTCTCTCAGGCTGACTCCTCAAGAATGAGAGTTGACTTAGTAGTTTCCTGGTCAAAGACAACCCTTCGTTGGAATTTCATTTCCCCATGTGCACACTTGAAATGAGCTCAGGCTCAGTAACTCTGTATTGAATAGTGAGAACCTGGCTATGTGAGGAGAAAAAGGGAGTCAAATATGAGGTCAAAGTAGTGATAGCGAAACTAGGTAAAAGAATATAGTGGAGTTAATAATGAAAAAGACAGACTGAGACTAGAAGCTTCAGGAGGAAAGAGAAGTTGTTTGCAAGGAAATGAATGATTTGGGTGTCTTTTTACACAGGGTACTTCATACGACAGCAATCCCTGCCACCAGGTGAGTAACCTTTCTCCATTGTTTTTAAGGTTTGCCTTAAACTGGTTCTTAGTAATGGAATGTGTTGTCATAAATTTAATTTCTTGTTCTCAAACGGTGGAACAATCCTGCAAACAATTTCTCTGAAAAGTATGTACAAACCTCATTAGATTTAGTTTAAAAAAAAAAAAAAAAGCACACACACCCCTACATAACTTTAGAGAATTTGACTTGTCACTAAAGTGCCTAAATGATTTAGGGCAAAATTTGAAGAACACCTAACTTACTTGGCAGTTTCTTTTTAATTTAATTAAACTGTAGATCCAGATCATCCCCCCTCTCCCACCTGTAGGAGGAGGTGTGGGGGATCCTTTCACAGTGATCCCCCTCCCCAACACCAACGTTACCCCTTTGAGGCAGTGAGTTTGGCCCCTTCTGCTGGACCCAAACCCAAACTTAGCTGTGTCTCTGGCCCCTGGCTCCCTGTCATCGTGACTACACTAAAGCCATACCCAACAGTATTTTTATATTTTGAAACTCGTGTTAAGCACAAGAAGAGAGGGACCCTCACTGTGCTGGGTGCTGGTGAAGAAGCAGCTCCTCAGCACTAGAGAACTGAAAGACAAGTGACCAGAGAATAGAACATTAGCAAAGACAGAGAATTCCAGGGCCCCATATTGGGAGTGGGTTGTGTCCTGTAGCGGCGGGAGCACTAGCTCACAGTTCCCCTTGTGGCTCATGTCTGTGGTTAGCATTAGGGGAACCCAGGCTCTCTCGCTCCACCAGATTCTAACCTGGAGCCCTGGAACTGTCAGTTCAGGCATGCAGCCTGGGCAAAAGTATCACGATCCCTGTTCCCTGGATCACTTCCTACAACAATTAGGGTTACCATTCGTCCGGATTCCCCCGGACATGTCCGGCTTTTTAAGCTAAAAATAGCGTCCGGGGGGAATTTGTAAATGTCCGGACTCCACTCCCCCCCCCCCCCCATGCAGAGCACGCGTGGCTAACAGTGCTGCCGGCCGGCCGGTGTCACTTACATGGGGCTCCGACACTCAGCCAGAGAGGGCTCCTCCTCCCCCTGCAGCTGAGATCACTCCCTCCCTGCATCGCAGATCGGCTACGGCAGTCTGGAGCTCCTCCCCCGCTGCTGCCCAGCGGCTCAGGCAGTTCCTGAGCAAGTTCACCGAGACATTAGGTGAAGAAAGGCCAACAACAAGGGGGCCAGGGGGTCGGAGAAGGGGCAGGGAGGTTTTGGAGGGGGCAGTCAAGAGACGGGGGGAGTCAGGAGTTCGGGGGGGGCTTTCTGGGGGTGTGGATAAGGTTTTGGGCAGTCAGGGTACAGGTAGGGGGTAGGGTCCTGGGGGGCATTTGGGGGGGGGTCTTAGGAGGGGGCAGTTAGGGGACAAGGAACAGGGAGGCTTAGGTAGGGGGTGGAGTCCTGCGGGGCAATTAGGGGCAGGGGTCCCAGGAGGGGGCAGTCAGGGGACAAGGAGCGGGGGGAGGGTTGGGGGTTCTGAGGGGGGGGAAGTGGGAGGGGCAGGGGCGGGGCTAGGGCAAGACAGGGGCGGGGTTCCTCCCGTCCTCTTTTTTGCTTGCTGGATTATGGTAACCCTATACAACATTCAGTCTCTTTGGAGGCCCAATGTGGGCCCAGCTGTCAATTCACAACATGCCCTCAACTGAGAGGGGTCCAGGAACTCAACTCCTTCTCCCATGGGCAGGCGTTCTGCTTTCTCTCTGGAGCTGGCCTGCAGCTCTCTATTGAGGTTTGTTCCAGGCAGCATGGGACTTCTGCTGTCCCCTGGCAGGAACTACTTGTGCAGGTCTACTCCCTTGCACTCACCACCCCGACTGACCTGTGCTGCACCCTTTTAAGCTCCACTTACCGCATGGAAATTTATTCCAACGTGCCTCTTGGTACTGGAACACTTCACTGTAATTTGCATTTTATCCATTAGCTGTTGAGTGGGAATTTTTGTTGAAGGATGAAGTTATATAGAAAATTAGAAGTTGAATTATATTATTTGCTACTAGAGAGACAAGGTGGATGATGTAATATCTTTTACTGGACCAATTTCTGTTGGTGGAAGAAACTTGAGCTTCACGGAGCTCTTCTTTAGAGCGGGTAAACAATGTCACAGCTAAATACAAGGTGGAACAGACTGTTAAGCATAAGACAAAGTGGGCAGTTAACACCTCTGCAGTCCTAGAACAAAGGAGAGTTAGGTTACAAATTGTTGTAATGAGCTATAAAATCAGTGTCTCTGCCAGTAACCAAACTATAAGGTAAGAACATAAAATCCTGGGCTCAATGAAGTCAGTGGCAAAACTTCCATTGACCTCAGTGGGGCCAGGATTTCACCCATTCTTTGTTATACATTTTGTATTTCCCTATAGTTAGAAAAGTCATCTTGCTGTCTGACCCAGGTATAAACCATTATCTCCTTGAAATGCCAAAACTCACATTACTATTGTAGATCAGAGTTCCTCCTCATGGATGAATGTTGACCATCTTGGAACCTTCACTTCAGACCATTCATTAAAATTACCCTCCTTGAAGCTTCCGAGTTCCCATGTGACAAACTTATGGTCATTCACTATATTAATGCAATAGAAGGACATGGAGTGCTCCGTTTTTAATGCCATCTACTTAAACAGAATTTTTACTGAAAAATGATACTTTCTGTGGAGACTGTTCAATATTGGGCATCTGAGTGCAGTGTGGAGCATTTAAAAAGGGATGTTTATTGCTCCCCAGTATTTACCTTTTTACTATTTTCAGTTTACATTTAAGTCACATAATCAAGTCTGCAGTATTCACCATTTCCCTAATCCATCCTTCCCCTAAATAAATATCAATAGGGTTCTTTTCCTTAATAAAATCATAGTGAACCAATCCCTTTTACTAAGAAATAATTTATTTTTGGTTTACTTTGAAGACTGGATCATTGTCCTCACAGAGCAATGGCAGTAGCCACATAAATAGCTCTTCATTTTGCTTGTTAAGGTCTCATTTTACTCCTTATCACAAACCTTAGACTTTAGGGACTCTTTATACTACCAAAGCTTTCTATTTGTGTGACCTTAATTTCCAAGCTACAGGCCCCAAGATCTAGTCCATTGTATTTAAGCAATCCATTTTATGAGGAAATAACTGATTTCAGGTGTCTTTACAGGGTTCACAAAGTAATTCAGGCAGCAGTAACCGTGATTGTGATCAGGTGAGTACTTTTTTTCTCCAGTGTGTCTAAGTTTTTGTCCCAACTTGCCTCTTAGTACATGAGCACTAATTTACTTGTCATTCTATGTATGCTCTCCTAATTTTCACCTTTCATTCAGCTGTGAAAACTACTAGCCAGGGTCACTTCTGTTTCTAGATACTGCCACTTTTTTCCTCCGGCACTAGCACAGTGCTGCAGTGTTTTCATTGAAAACACCAAAGGGAATGTCTCTAAATCCCAAATAAAAACTCATGAAAATATTTGAATTAATATTGGAATTTCTAAACTATTATGTATGTGATAACACTTGTATTATGTGATCTTTAACATTTATTTAATCATGGTCAAATGAAACCCTCATTAAAAAGCTTTCAGTGAAGCTACACCAATTTATGCCAGTAAAGAATTTTGGCTCAAAATGCACCAGTGTCCATTTTACTGTCATTTTCAATGATACCTCCCTGCAACTCTAGGAAGCCTTTCATTAGCCTAAGATGAGTGAATAACAGGAGAAAAATTTGTGCCTGGTCCTCCCTGTTTTGCACATTGTTCAAAGAATGTACAATGCTAACAGATCAGAATGGTAAGATTTCAGATTCATTTGGAATCTATTTTACAGCAATATAAACAACTAGCCAAGATACAAGGCAGTAAAGAACCAGGCCCACGGTACACAATCTCCTATGCTTTCATTGCACAAGAGGAGCAAATTTCTGTAACTTTATTCTATTTAAATAAGTTCTTTAACACATAAATAATTGGTGTCTTTCCAGGTTGACTCCTTGTCATAAGGTGCTGGCCCCTTCATGGGAAGCCTGGCCCCAGAATCCTCTCAAAGAGCTAATTTCAATGGGAAGGAGCCTACCTAGGCATATAATTGAATAATAAGAAGCTGAGTTGGATAAAAGGCTATCAGGGCCAAGCTGTAGGGAGATGCTCACAGAGAGACGCTACCCTATGGGACAGGAACTCTCTGAGACTGTAGGCTCTAAGCAGTAGGGCTGCGTAGCCCTACAGCCAAGGAGTGAGACTTTATTTCAAGTTTATTTTAATTTAGTAAAATAAAATCCCAGCAAGGGAATTTTGCCTTACACTCTTTGAACTTGTGGAGTTCTTAACATGTCCTGGGGAAAGGGAAACTGAGGCACAGATTGCCTGCAGTACCATACTAGGTCAGGAGTGGGTGCTATGGGGCAGGCCACCCTGTGTCACTTCTCTATGTATCAAGTTAGTGGTCAAGTAAGCTCTTTCTTTCTCCATAGTATTGAAGTCCTTGTGCTGAGGTGCTTCCTACTAACTGAACGCTTCAACATCAAAGATCTGGGCCAATAGTGTATGGGTTTTTTACTGTTCATTTGATCATTTATATAAAGACTGAAGCTATTTGATCTGTATTGACCCCCTTCAACCAGCTTTTAATGCTGCTGCACAGTTGTTCAAAATATATAATACTTCAATTTTTAGTAATCATATAGTACTCAAACCCATGTACTCTGACTGAATACTTCCCTGAGAACTCACCCTCCATATGCACATGGGCACCTCGAGCTCTTGTGTCACCCAGAGTTAGCATTCATTTAAAACTACATATATGCCATTTAAAAAAAAAAAAGTTCTCCTCTGGCTGCATTTACCCCATTAGGGCTCTGCTCCTGGGCTTTCACCTAATGGAAGCCAGGGTAAATCTAGGCAGAATCTGTCCCAGGGAATTTTACCTTTGTGTAGGTGAATGGACCATCTTGTTACTTCTACAAGACAATAACTGTCTTCTGTTTTCTTTCACAGAGTTCATCCAATTGTGCAGGCAACAAGGTTATCGTTGCCCGGGTAAGCACACTTTCTTCATCATATTTAGGGTATTTGCTCTAGTATGTCTCTAAGAAAATGAACACTTGGTTTATATATTTGAAGAGTAATTTTACTGTAAAGAGAGTTCGTTTTTAGGAGAAGACCTGATCTTGTAAGGTCTTGCGCTGGGGTTCGGGACACCCTCAGTTTCCATTCATCTTGCAGAATTGGGACATACTGAAATTAGTGGACATTAAACTGGAATAGAATTATTTCATCCAAGCAGTGCTCAGGAACGCTGTACAGTTGTTGCACTCAACAAACATGGGGGGTGTGGACCTGGAAATTATGTACAAATAAGCATTTATATTATACTTATGTATTATACCATTTAATTTATAGGCCAAAAGGTCTCTGGATATCAGAACAAATAAAAATATAGCCCAAAATGAGGCATTGTGCCTGAGTGTACATGTCAAATTTTTCTTGGGTTACTAGCTCATTTAATTGTCTTTTCACAGGATACATCTCATGCTCTAAGCAGAAGCAGTTACAATGGACAGGTAAAGCAACGCCTGTCATTTTTTCCCAGAATTTTGTCTGAGTAAAGCTGTTGTAATGCTAGCAGTTTTAAGGGTAGACATACGCTAAGGCTATGTCTACACTACCACATATGCTGGCAAAACTTATGATGTTCAGAGCTGTGAATATTCCACCCCCTAGCTGTCACCTAAATTAGTGGCTAAAGACAGGGGTACAAGGTCACTGGACCATATTCACCTGTTTCCATAAGATGTCTCCTGGCAAGTAGTAGTTTTTCAGGATAAAAGACCCAAGGTGATATATGCCAAGAGAGTAGTATTCAGAGTCTCTTTTATGTGATGAACCCTCAGAACAGAATAAATATTGTTAGTGACCTGAAGAGCTCAGAGGCAGATCCATCCAGTGGAGACAGAGCACTTCCTGCTACAAGTGCATTCTAGATAGAATGTTATGTGTGTATATGCATGGAGAACCCAATATGCACTATTGGCAAACAAGAGTGCAAATCTGGCCTCTAAGCCCGTATAGTACTACATTTTTGGGGAAAACTTCCAGTAAAATTATGGTGGTATAATTGTTCTCACAGGGAAATTACTCATTTTTGTTTTCTTTACAGAATGAATCCTCTAGCACAAACAGCAGTAGTGCCAATGTCCAGGTAATAACACATTCTCTACTGAATTTAAAATCTCCTCCCAAAATGCTTCCTAGTGAATGAATGTTCAAGTTTCAGAAATTACCTCCACTTGTGGTGTACAGTGAACATGGTTACATAGAGATTGAAGTTATTTGATGATGATCTGATTTGGAATGTCACCTTCTGATCAGATCTAAACTCCTACATGAGTTATCTCATCTTCCTTAGAATCTCCATCCTTCATACTTCCACAGCTGATAAAAGCCTGTCTAATCATTATATTTACTCCATCGCAGGACATGAGCTGTCTTTCATTTTGGCTACTTTCAACAGAAAAACAAACATTCATTTCTCCTCCTGTTGTGGTGTAAACGGATCAACATCCACTGAATTTAATTTTTCAAAGAACCTTCATGTAAAGACTGCATAGTGTAAATTGCTCGAGTGAAGTAATAGGAAAGAGACTCTGCATTTTCTGCTTACCCTACACTTCACTAAGCAGTTAAGCACAGACTGGGGTCTTCTCTCTTTTTTTACCCTGAATGAAGTATGGCACTTAATCAAGTCTCTTCACAAGAAATTGACTCATTTCTGGTTTCTTTAAAGGGTGGAGCATTTATCTCATTCAACAACACTTCCAGTGGCCAGGTAAGACTACTTTAGGTTTCTCACTCTACTTTAGTGTGTTGTTCTAAGATAGGGTTGTGGAATGAAGGGAAACACAATAGTATTTTCACTCTCCTGTTTTTTGTTTTCATTCCATTAAGCAGGAAAGTACAAATAAAGTAAATATCTGTTCCTCAAACTGAACTATAGTTAAAAACACTTTTACACTAAAATAACTGGTTTGTACCTTTTTACAGGGATTACCTTCAGGAGGAAAGCAGTCTGGTGGAGACGTAAGTCCTGTTTTCCCCATAGTATTTACCACTTTCTTCCAGTAAAGTGAAAACATAGATATCGTTTGGATTAGGTCTGTCAGTTCTGATGTGAGAAATATGTTCAAGAATTACTTTACTCTGGATAAAAAATACATTAGAATACTGGATGTTCCTACTCTGCAATGGAGTAGTAGCACAAATGCTGCACATCACAATGGGGAGCCATTACAGTTTTAATCTATTCTGCCACTCAATAAATCAACACATGTGGAGCATAATGTAGTTTCTCTCTCTCTCTCAAACTAGTCATGCATAATCACCAGAGGGTCTCATTTATGATGCAGGCACACTCCAGGTCTGCATGCTCAGTCTGTAGGCACCATCTTTTCATGTAACTAATAGAGTTGTGGTTAGAACTTTATATTCCTGGTATCAGTCTAAGTGCCTTAAGTACAGAGGCTGCAGCAAACTCATGAGACGATACTCTGAGGCATGGTTGTTGTTTGAATGGCACCTATTTAGTTGTGACATGGGATACTTCATTGAAGACTTCCTTCAATTTCAAACCATAATGACACTATAGTAATCCCATATAAGGAATCACATCTGACAGAAAATTTAGAGTCATTCAACAACAACTTCCTTTTTCATTAACCAGAATGAAATAGCTTGGTCTCCTTGCAAAAAAAGAAATAGTGGCTGCTATTTTAAAAATACTTGGGTTTTTAATCTTACTGTAGCAGACTTTTGTGCTGTATTAAGACCACATAGCTCACAGTAGTTGGCTCATGTAATGGTGGAATTCAAACCAGTGCAGAGGGCCAGCACAAATAAATTTTAGGTTGCTTTTCCTCACAGACCTATAATCACAGAGGTTTTTTTTTTTTAATACATTATACTTTTTTTATACTTTTTGTCTGCTAGACTGAAAATCCCTCAGTTTTGAAATTTCTGTTCTTCGTGTAGGTACTTACAGATTGTGATCAAGTCATTGATAAACTAAATAGATATTGAGCTCCTCAAGTCTTTCACTGTAAGGCATATTTTCTAATCTTTTAACCAGTCTCATGCCTCTTCTCTGAACCCTCTCAAAGTTTTTCAACATCCTTCTTGAATTATGGACACCAGGCCTGTGTGTAATGTAAGGTAGCTGAATGAAAGGAAGCAAAATAAATGTTCTTTCATTCCATTTAGCAAGGATTTTTAGATAAAGTAGGTGAGCCTGATTCACTGCTCCATTTTGTCACGTTTTATGTTCATGCAACTTTGTCTTTGAGATTACAGCAGTTTCAATCCACTTTCTCAGAGTAGAGAGTCAAACCCTCATACCAGAAATTAAAAACCATTTTACATGTGGGGGGAAATAACTGTTTCCATTTTTTTTTTAACAGGGCTCACATTCCTCAGACGGCGGCCAAATAGTAAGCACTCTTCCCTTATAGCTTTTACTGTTTTCTTCCAATATGCAGCTTACATTGAAAATATGAATATAACTTTGATTAGGTCTGTTTGTGATATGGGGGATCTATCAGAGTTCCTTTAGTCCATACAACTATCTGAGAATATTGGACATTATAGTGAAGTATAATAGTCTCATCAAATTTGAATAGAAGTATACAAAATACTGAATTTCCACTGTATTGCTTCGATTCAGCCTGCCACTTAGAAACTGAATGCGTGGTTATTATTTAGATTAGGTCTAATAATTGGAATATTTCATTATTCAGAATCCTCTGCCTTTAAAGGACCACCAGTATTTCCTTTTCAGTACCAGGTAACTGAACACGGCACCCCATTGAAACCCAGCATAAATGAGCACAACTCTACAGGAATCTCTGGCATGCACCTCCTTAAACCAAGTCTGAATTTGATGCGCAGATTCTGAGTTCTGCAGACAAGCCAAAAAGGCTAACTGTCACACACATTCCTCCCATACAGTATTTTTTGTTTACCCCACCACATAAAGTTATTTATGTAACATACTAGCTAGCCAGTACTTCTACCCAAACCACACAGTAAACATTTATTAATGAGAACAGATAAGTAGTACAGTTATCTGGAATTTACCATGCTTTGAGAATCACAATGAATAAAATTATTCTTTGCCTCAGATTTATCAAATTGTTCCTCATTGCCTGGCTGTTTCTGAGAATGAATAACATGTCTTTCTGTTCTTTGTAGAGCTCTGCTGGGAAACAGTCCAGCCCTAGCCTTTTGGTGCTATTCAGTGTTTTGAGTGCCTTTGCCACCTCTTCAGTTGTGCCCAAGTGGTTTATATGAACATCTGAATACGTGACTGGAGACCACGAAGTGTATTCTGTAATAACAGATTAATTTTTTGTACAAAATTGTAATCAAAGTTGAATATATAATTTGTTGGTTTGTTGTAATGTCATTATGTATGGCTAATATGCCAAGCTTTTGATTAGTTCTACCTTTTTTAGTTTACAGTATATGCCGGTTTATTTTTCAGTATTTTAGGCATCATTTGAAAAGGAGATATTGTGCCCTAACTATATGAATTTTTATTTCTAACTGACGTGATGAATACCTGATTTGAATCTGATCTAGTTGTGAATCCAACCACTCAGAAGATATCTGGAACCACATGACTATTAACCCAGGGAAAAAATAACAGCAGATTGTCATGTGTGCAAGCTGAAGGCTCTCACTTGTCATTACGTAAAATAAAGCCAATCCTGTCATTTTTTTATAAAAAAGCCTCAATGGAACAGAAAAGCAGTGTTGGAATATTACTCTTAATCTATTATAGTAATTAAACTAGAGTGAAGTGTAAATCTTGCAATGCAGAAATTTCTTATTGCAGTGAAACTTTTGGATATTCCACCTCTTCCACAAAAGGCCACTGAAGGCAGACATTCTGATACTTAGAATAGATCACCATGTGTCTCGACCAGCGGTTTTCAACCTTTTTTCACCTTTGGAAATCTTAGACATAGTCTGTGGACCACAGGTTGAAAACCACAGATCTAGGTACACTCCACCTAGAGCTTTAGTGTAGGGAGTGTAGCCCAGAAGAGGCTCTGGAAGGCTAATAACCTTGGAACTGATGAAAACCACCCACTCTGGGAATGTTTGAGAATTACTCCGGCTACTGAAACTGCTAGTATCTCTGTGTCAGCTCTCTTTCAGCAAGTATTTTGCCTAAACTACGAGACCTGATTTATTGTCAAATTTAATTTCAAGAATGATATTGAGATCCATAAAATAGTATCGCAGTGCAGCAGACATAGTCCCAGAGAAACGTCATCTTTGACTGGCAAGGATTTCAAGGAAACAAAGTTTCACATATAGCATCTTTTAGCAGTGTTTTCCCTTGGAGATCTATTCAGAAGTGTTGCCTTTGAAAGGCTGGATATGTGATCTGGGAAGATGCAGATTACTCCCAGAAAATGCAAATGCTAGTAGTTTTAATATGTAACCTGTTCATACTCACTTTCAAGCAATAAATTCCTAGCAGCAGGTAAATGGTGTTTAATAAATTACATCTTTATTGTATAGTATTGTCTCTAACTGATGTGTACAACTGTCATTGTTCTACTAGCATGGTATGTTTTAAGATAGGTCAAATGTTAACCAAGTGCACCTAAAACACTTTTAAAAAAATCATTCCAATACCTATAGAAGTTGTGTGTAGTCTTAAAGCACTTAAAACTACATTCACACTGTAAACCTCCTGAGGTAGGTACATGGATGAAATCCTGTCCCCATTGAAATTGATGGGGAATTTTGACATTGACTTCAATAGGGCCAGGATTTCACTCATTGCTGTTTTTTTCCCTATGTTCTATACAGAGCACACTGTCAGCACTCCATAAATTCTTAATATTCTCAAACCAAATCCTGAAGTCATTACTCATTCAAAATGAGTTCTGCTTGAATAAGAACTCCCAGATTTGACCCATCGTGCATATCTTTAAAACAGATTAATATATACAATAAAATAGCTATCTAAAATACAATATGCTGTGTAGTGTTCATTTGCATAACTTTATTGAAGCAGGGCAATATCTATCATTGGGTCCATACAATGTCTTGCCATTCATCACTTTTCTGAAGTATAAAAAAATTAGTTTTTAAACTGTTTTTGGTATAATACTGGTGTGCAGTTTTATGTGAGTTTCATAACACACCATAACTAAGTGTGGGCGAGTGAAAATGCAAGGATTGTAGGTGTAAATAATGTGGACCTGAGAATTATGAGTTTGGGTGAGGTGATGTTTGAGAGAAAAATACCACCATTTTCCCTTATTACAAGTTGTTGTTCTTTTTAAAGTATTCACTGTATGTCTTTGTCTCTAAATCAATAGGAGGAACAAAGGTAACATGGGATAGTTGGAATGAATCTTTTCAGTGAATTAATAAGAGAAAAAGAGGCTTTATATGTAATATTGTTTTTTCCTTATTCTAATAAAACTTGTTCAGCTATTAGACAATTTCTGTCATTATTTTCCATTGGCACAAGACACCCACCAATAGATTTGATCTGAGCAGTTTCTATAGTGAGCTGGGAGTTTTGGGCTGCCACTTCTAGATGGGAAAGAAATTGAGTCAAAACTATTGTTTGGGTAAGATGAGCATCAAGGATGCAACTCTAACAACCTGAGTACACGTGTCATGAAGAAAGCTGTGAAAATCAGTGGGACTTCACCTTTGCTCCAAGCACTTGCCAGGATTATTGTTTTCTATAGCACTTTTCAGAAGCATTAAAGTGCTTTACAGAATTATAGACAAAGCACATACTGTAGACATGATCATGTCATTAAATCCTCTTGTGAATAGAGTAGCCATAACCCCATACAGCAAAATTGCACAACACTTTTAGATTGGGAAGTGAAGACTATTGGATTCAAATTAAGTGAGGGGAAGTGGGTGGGCAAAAAGTAATTACCCAAACTGGAACTTGGCCATGACACCAGGGCTTAGATCTTTATTCTTGCAAAAACAAAACAAAAAAGCCATATGCTGTTTAACAAGTGGTCACATCCTTTGGTTTTGTGTCATCTGAAAAATGGCATTTTCTGTCGCTTAACACCATAGTAGGACATTTGCTCAGTACTACTTACCTGTTTGCCAATAGTGCATATTAGAGAAAGTTTGCAAACCTTCCCCACTGTCTGACACTGACAGTTTCAGTGTTGACTGGCTGTTTGCTGCTTCTTTCTAGTGTCATCTAGTGGATGGATTATTAAAATGTCAGTATCAGCTGGCCCACAGTAGGAATGCCAACAGTGTTAATGCTGGCAGAACTGAATCAGTACTAGTAACAGTGAGAAATCTTTCTAAAATCTCCTTTAATGTGCACACAACTAGAAGAAAAGTGTTAGCTTGAAATCTTAGGAAATCAGTCAGACTTTGATTGCATGAAGTTTAACTGATGGCTTATGGCTGATGTTTTAGGTATTTTTCTTTCAGCCACTGTTTTATGATTTCTTCCCATTAAATCTACAATTTGTTTTCTCATCCCCCTCCCCCCCCAAACAATTTAAAGGGTGGAACCAGGTTTGCCAAACTTGGCACGTTTGTGAGGCCAGACTGGTTTTTCCTGTTCAGCATGGAATTTCAGTTCAGTAGCTCAGGTTTCAGAGTAGCAGCCGTGTTAGTCTGTATCCGCAAAAAGAACAGGAGTACTTGTGGCACCTTAGAGACTAACAAATTTATTGGAGCATAAGCTTTCGTGGGCTACAGCCCACTTCTTCGGATGCATATAGAATGGAACATATATTGAGGATAGATATATATATATACACACACACACATACAGAAAGCATGAACAGGTGGGAGTTGTCTTACCAACACTGAGAGGCCAATTAAGTAAGTGGGGTTGTCTGTAAGTGAGGACAGGTCTGTCTCCCAAGATCTGTGAGAGTGAGGGATCATCTTTCAGGATAGGTTGTAGATCTTTGATGATGCGCTGGAGAGGTTTTAGTTGGGGGCTGAAGGTGACAGCTAGTGGTGTTCTGTTATTTTCTTTGTTGGGCCTGTCTTGTAGGAGGTGACTTCTGGGTACTCGTCTGGCTCTGTCAATCTGTTTTTTCACTTCAGCAGGTGGGTATTGTAGTTTTAAGAATGCTTGATAGAGATCTTGTAGGTGCTTGTCTCTGTCTGAGGGATTTCTTTAAAAAAAAAAAATATTTCACTCTTAGTCTTAGTTACACATTTACGAAGTCTGGGATTCTCTTCCTATGCAAAAGAGCCTGTTGCTAACTGTGCCTTCAATGCTAAACCTTATTTCCTTGAATTATGATGTTGAGCATGCATAAGCACCATGTATGTCACACTTTTACACATGGGCAAGTGAATCATTTGAGATTATTATGTTAAATGCTTGCTGCTATGGAAAGCATACCACAAACTATCGTTCCTATGAACTGGAGGTTTCCATCCAAACAGATGAACAACACACAATGGACAGAGAGAGAAAGGCTCTTCCTTAGGTTGTATTTTTTCTTTTTCACTTTAACATACTGGGGCACTGCTAGGTCACTGCGTTTACAAAGCTCTTATTCAGGGGTGAAAGTAACACTCAACACTTACCGGTATGGGGCTGGCTCCCCCAACCAGCCCATCTGTGCTGCCTGGCCCGCGCCGCCAGGGGCTCCAGTGGCAATTTAAAGCACTTTAAGCAGGGTCCTTTGCCACTGCAGCGCTTTTAACATTGCTGCCCCTTTTGGCCCCCCTCCCTGTCAGCAGCCCTGACAGTAGGGACCTGGCAGGGCCGCAGATGGAGGGCACAAAAGGGGTAGTAACGTTAAAGCACGGCCAGCAGCGCTTTAATGTCAGCTGGTATTGGTGGCCACTTTTTACCGGTATGCCGTACAGGCCCGTACTGGCTTACTTTCACCCCGATCTTAAAAAAAAAATAGTGAACAGAGTTTGAGCATAGAAGTTTCTGGTTATCAGGGAATAACATACAGATTATAGAGGGTGCAAAGTTTGTTTTAAAATAAGGTGGCATGAGGAATACATAATCTGCAATATCCCCGATTGGGGGTAAAAGGTTGATGGGTCAAAGTACAGACATTGAGATATGAGGGTATGAAGTTCATAAAGTGGCTATGTTCAGGTGTGGATTATAATGAGTGGATATGATGATGAGGATGGATTGACCCTCATTTGGTGAGATTTAATGTTTAGGGAGTTTATGGTTTCAGTTCATATGATCCAACGGAGAAGGTCACTTGGTCCCTTTCTCGTAGTGGGAGAACGACATCACGCTGGCTCACGCCTCCTGGTACTGTCGGTGGCCGGTGATGTGCTCGATGTAGATGTCCCTGGACCATCGGATGGCATCTGAGACCACGAGGCGCCGCATGAGACGTGCGTAGCGTCGACCGATCCCGCAGGTCCGCAGCACACGCTCGTTGCAGGGGTCCCAGGCGCCCAGGGCTCTGACAATCAGGGCGTCCATCTGCACCTCATAGCCCTTCGCTCTCAGGGTGTCAGCCAGGGGGGCGTACTTTTCCAGCTTACGAGCTTTTACAACGTGGGTTACATTTTCTCTCCTCCTCGCTGACTTTCCATCACGCTCCCAAGCCATGACCTCCCCTCTCTGGCTCTGAGTATTGTTCCCCTGCAGTCTCTGACTCTCAGGGTTTGGCACAGCATGTGTGTGCTTGGCCTGCCCCCTCCTCTCTTATTAGTAGCTGTGGGGGAAGACAGATTGTATCACCATAATGATCATGCTGTCTCTTCCAGGCACTGCCCCACATCCTGCCCCAACACCTGTTTGACTGCTGGGTACCGACCTCACACCCCATTGCCCCCCATCACCCCTAGATACCCTATGTCCCAAACACCCCCACGTACACACCACGCTCCTAGCCCTTGCTCTTTTTTTTTTTTTTTTTTTTTTGACGCTGCCCTAAACCGTCTCCTCCCGCAGCGCCGGGGCTGCGGCGGCTCCGGGCCGGGGCGGGGCAGCCCAGCCCAGCCCCTTCCCGCGGCGCACGAGGCCAAGCCGGGGCCCGCCGGGGGCGAGCGGGCTCAGACCGACCGAGAGCTGAGCCAGGCTCGCTGCGCGCCGGGTCCTGGGAACGGAGCAGGCGGGGCTGCGGCTGCAGTCGGGGCCTTTGCGGAGCTGGACCGACCGGGAGCGGGGCACCCGGAAGCGCCTGCACAGCGCCGGGCGGGCGGCTGCAGCGAGCGGGGCGCCGGGGGCACCCCGGGCCGGCGGCGAGGGGCTGGCAGGGAGCGGGGCCGTGCTCCCAGCGCGGGAGGTGAGACGCTTCCTGGGGTCGGCGCAGGGGCTCAGCTCGGTCAGGGCCGGCACCGGTAGCCACGGGACTGAGGGGCCGGGCATGGGATTGGGACAGCCCCGGCGAGGGGGCTATATGGGGGCAGGATATAGGATTAGGGTGGCCCGGAGGAGGAGAGGGGGGCTGTATGGGTGGGGGGCAGGGCACGGGATTGGGGTAGTCCCCAGCGGAGGAGACGGGGGAGATGCATGGGGGGCAAGATATAGGATTAGGGTGGCCCGGAGGAGGAGAGGGGGGCTGTATGGGGGGAGGGGCACGGGATTGGGGTAGCCTCTGGGGGGGAGAGGAGGGATGAATGGGGGAGGGGTGATGTGTGTGTGAGTGGGGGATAGGTTATGATATTGGGGTAGAGGATAAATGATGGTTTGAGGAACAGGGAGTTGTGTTGAAATTAGGGTGACCAGATGTCCCGATTTTATAGGGACAGTCCTGATATTTGGGGCTTTTTCCTACATAGGCTCCTATTACCTCCCACTCCCTGTCCCGATTTTTCACACTTGCTATCTGGTCACCCTAGTTGAAATAGCCAGGGAGAGGATGATGTGAGATCAGGAAGCAAAAAAACATGGACAGGGGATGTTTCTCAGTTCCGGATGATGAAATCCCAGTTGTCATTCACCTGCCTGGGATAGTTTCTCTGATTCACACCAATATAAAATACACACACAGCTCCTTCCAAATAGCACATAAATTAAACCATATTTAACACAGTACTAGGTATATTTTATAAGAAAAATGTTGTAACATTGGAACTTTGTGTGGGGCTTTCGAGATCAAAATTTTTATAATCTACATCAAGCAAACAGAAAATGAAGACAAAGGACACAGTAGGCAAGAGTAAACATAGATACTGAGAATTGCATTGAATGAAGTTTATAATCAATATTTTAATTGAGAATGTGGCAGATCATGGTATATAGTATGGGAAGGGAGGTCACTTGTGGAAAGCAAGGGAAAAGCAGTGACTTTTGAGGAAGAATTTGGAGGAGACTGAGAACATTTGATACTCTGAAAGAAGGATGTCATTTTGAGCAATGTGGAAAACACGTACAACAGACCATTCAACAGTTAAGCTTCCACAACAATGTTAATTCATCTGCATTGTACAGAAGTATAATTTCATTTGTAATTACTGTTTTTTGCTGATAAGCACCTGTGGGTTTGTCTTCATTGTGACAGTTAGCTCAAGTGAGAGTGGCCACACTGTGAAACAACACTCGAACTACACAGAATGGTTGTATTAGCAGTTATTTGTAGTTGCATCCCCATTACTAGCTCAGCCATCAGCAGCATTCATGATTCAACCGATAACCCTGCAAACTAGCTTGAGTTTAAAGCACAAATTAATTCAAATTGGAGGTTTTTGAGTGCGGACAGGAGTTGGGATGGGGACAGTAGTTGAGTTATACTTGGGACTAACACTGTAGTGAAGACAAGCCCTATGTATGCGTTTATATTTGAGGTGGGGGCTGAACCAAAACCCAGAACTGAAGACCCTCAAATTTGGGGGAAATTCAGATTAGATCTGAATTTGGCAGCTCAGGCCTGTCTTTACAGTGATATGTACAACCAATAGTACAGTGTATGTACTGTTTTTTGTTTTTTTAAAAAGAAGGAGAGAGAAATTTGATACCATATGCCTTACTGCCTATGTTGGCAGACAAGGTTTGGCTTGATAACTGTTATGTCAATATAAAACTTTTGCATCAGTATGCGTGTACAGTAACTCTTAATCTATTGATATTAGATTCAACTCAATGACTTCTTCAATTTCCTACGTAAAGGAACACTGAATGTTTACAGGTTCAATATTTGATCTCGCTTATTGGTCATCTAACTTGTGAAATCTTATTTCTGGGTTCTACATTTGTGTGTAAGAGGTGAGGTAGAGAAGGAGCCACAGATTTAACTTTAAATATCTCATGCAATACTTGAGGTTTTCAATTTCCAATTCTTGCTGTTCATATATATGCATATAAGATTGTGGTATTTTTATTTATTTTTTTAAATAAAAAGGTTTTCCAAGAGATTTTTCATTTGACAAATAAATAAAGAAAATAAAGATAATTTGTTTTGCAATAGCTCCTGAAAGCCCACAATCAGAATGGAGTCCCCTAAGTTCCCTGTAAGCTGCATGGCTACACAGCAGCCTATTTAGTGCTGTGCAGGAACTTAGGGAACCTGCCCTGCCGTGGCCAGGGGAAGGGCACTGCGGGCGCCCCTTCCCGGCCCCAACTCAGCCCCAGATCTGCTGCAGCTGGGGGAGGGGCACCTATCCTGCAGCTCCAGCCCTGGAGCCGTGGCGGGGAGAGGCGCCTCTCCCCCTGAGCACAGGTGCTGCAGCGGGGGGAGAGAGCTGGGAGGAGTCCTCTCTCCTTGCAGTAACCCTTGAGCACCTTTGTGCACCCCAAACCCCTCATCCCCAGCCCCACCCCCGAGCCCGCACCCCCAGCTGGAGCCCTCAGACCCCTGCACCCCAACCCTCTGCTGCAGCCGTGAGCCCCCTCCCACACTCCGAACCCTTCAGCTCCACCCCACCACATTAATTTTGTTATGTGCACCAATATAGAGGTGATGTGTCACACGTCACCTCCATATTGGTGCACATAACAAAATTCATTCTGCACATGTGTGGGAAAAATTAGAAGGAACACTGGTCCTCACGCTGCTAGGTTTTCTACAAATACTGGAAGAGACAGCCATTGCCCCAAAGAAGTTACAGTAGTATTTGAAACTAGACACAGGCAAGTGAGCATATCATTGGACTCCTTGTCAGACATCAGTGATATTGGAGTTTTCCACTTCGATGTGCCAGAGTGTCGGTGGCATACCCTCCCTATCCTTGAAGGGGCCCTAACTCTTAGCCACAGAAGACTATCTAATTGAAGCAGAGTTGAGAAGGATTCATAGAGGGAATTTTTAGCAAATAAGTTTTCTTATGTAACTATCCTGTGGAGAATTTTTTAAAAATGCATTTCTGACACTTAGTCATAGCAGCATGCTTGTAAATGGGGGAAATGTAGTATTGTGCTCTGAGAGTTCAGTAGCTGTGCTGGAACAATCATCATATTTTTTGTAGCGGATGCATTTTATATTCCCATCATGAAAATATTCAGTTGTAGGTTGTTTTTGTTTTTAAACTCCTTAATTGGATAGAAAAAGTAGAAAAGCTGCCCTTAGGAAAGCTCCTATTGAAAACAAAGCTTTGTTGACTGAGCAGGTTGTTCAGCTTCAACAAGTGGAGAGAGGGGAGAAACTTTGCTTGAGCATTTTTTATTTAATGTGAAAACATTGCTGAAGAAGGATGTACCAAGAGAAATACAACTTGTTTTACGGTATTGTCTGTAAAGTGCCTTACAAAGAGAATGAGTCACAAACAGAAGAACAAAAGAAGGTGACTAGGTGAGATTTGAAATGATAAAAGGATTTAATGGCTTGGATGGAAGAAGTTCCAGCTGTATGAAGAGGTGCAGTTGAAAGTGTGCCTGACAACCATGGAGAGTTAATAGGAGGGGACAGAGGGGAAACCAATGTTAAGAGTGCGGTCTGAGAGTGGAGCTGGTCTGTGGAGAGGTTTTAAAACAAGAAGCATAGTAATTGGGATTAGTCCAAGTGAAATTATTTACAAAACCAATTGTGACTTTGCACACACAGTATAGAGACTACATATTGAAAAATGTCATTTTTCTGACTCTTACTATTTAACAAAGCTTCTGACATTTAGGAAGTGTTAGTGGATATCTAAATTCCAGCACATAAACTAGTTCAACAATACTTTTTGGTAGACTTTTAGTTATTAAGAATTTCTGTGCATTCTAATTGGCATCTGTGTCCTGCTTCCCACTCACAGAATATTTTACTACCTTAGATATTCTTTAGGGCTGTTGATTAATTGCAGTTAACTCACGCAATTAACTAAAAAAACTTAACTGCGATTAAAAAATTAATCGCGATTAATCACACTGTTAAACAATAGAATACCAATTAAAATTTATTAAATATTTTTGGATATTTTTCTACATTTTCAAATATATTGATTTCTATTACAACACAGAATACAAAGTGTACAGTGCTCACTTTATATTATTTTTATTACAAATATTTGCACTGTAAAAATGATAAACAAAAGAAATAGTATTTTTCAATTCACCTCAGACACGTACTGTAGTGCAATCTCTATCGTGAAAGTGTAACTTACAAATGTAGTTTTTTGTTGTTGTATATAACTGCACTCAAAAACAAAACAATGGAAAATTTTAGAGCCTACAAGTCCACTCAGTCCTACTTCTTGTTCAGCCAATCTCTAAGACAAACAAGTTTGTTTACATTTATGGGAGATAATGCTGCCTTTTTCTTATTTACAATGTCACCTGAAAGTGAGAACAGGCATTCACATGGCACTTTTATAGCCAGCGTTGCAACGTATTTACGTGCCAGATACGCTAAACATTCGTGTGGCCCTTCATGCTTCAGCCACCATTCCAGAGGACATGCTTCCATGCTGATGATGATCTTTAAAAAAAAATAGTGTGTTAATTAAATTTGTGACTGAACTCCTTCGGGGAGAATTGTATGTCCCCTGCTCTGTTTTACCCGCATTCTGCCATATATTTTATGTTATAGCAGTCTCGGATGATGACCCAGCACATGTTGTTTGATTTACGAACACTGTCACTGCAGATTTGACAAAATGCAAAGGTACCAATGTGAGATTTCTAAAAATAGGTACAGCACTCGACCCAAGGTTTAAGACTCTGAAGTGCTGTCCAAAATCTGAGAGGGACGATGTGTGGAACATGCTTTCAGAAGTCTTAAAAGAGCAACACTCAGATGCGGAAACTACAGAACCTGAACCATCAAAAAAGGAAATCAAAAAATCAACCTTCTGCTGGTGTCATCTGACTCAGATGATGAAAATGAACATGCATCGGTCCGCTCTGCTTTGGATCGTTATCGAGCAG